CTGCTCAGAACTAACGAGATTTTTTTTGAAAGTTAATTTCCTCATGAGTTTTCAAAGTATTATTTGCAAGAGCTTTCTTGTATGAATGTCCACTCAGTGCTTCAGTGAATCTATCTCCTGGTTATATGCAGATATAATGCTATTTAAAATTATTTTCTGACACCCATCACAATCAATATTTTCACTGACAGACTGGAAAACTTTGACAAAGATTAAAATTATTTTCTCAGTGTCATGCAAAAACTGACAGAAAGGTGAATTTCCTGTTCAAAGTCCCAAGCTAATCTTCTGCCTACCAAAGATCATGAACTTGCAACAAATATTTTTCTAATCACAATTTTATGTAACCTTCACTTCACAATACACCAGACTGGAAATATCCCACTGGTTTTGTACTTTGAAACACCACTTCCCATTCAGCATTACAATTGAAAACCTTGGCAGAGGGTGCAGTGAGTAGCTAATACTGCCAAAAAAATGGGTATCAGAAAATTTAAAGTGGCTCCAGAAACACTATTTGGGCAGTGGTGCTTAAACAGGAGCACTGACCTCATGCTTTAAGAAGCTTGGTAAATATACTGTTAAAAGAGGTCACACCTGTGTAAGACCAGGTATCACCAACAACTGCTGTATTATTAGATGCCTTTAGAGGGATTCATTCATGACAACTTTTAATACGATGCAGTGCAGAGGATATCTGTGTGCACAACATGCCACAGAACACTTCTGAAAGCCAGCTGCCTACTGCCAGGGATTGCTTTACCCACCACGGGGAAGGGTGGCTAAAACACCCTAGCGTTGGATCTTGGTTGTTCCTGAATGCCTGAACTTGTTTCTTCTCATGCAAAGTACCAGTCTGGCTCCCCACATTCCTGATTGCTGTCTCCCAGTGCCATCACTGAATCCAGGAGATTTCATACGCTACTCTATCTCACAGGACTCTTGGAGAGATTGTGTGCCTCAGCTAGACAGAAAGTAGGGAAGGCAGCCAGAAGCAGGGGCACATCAGAAGGAATAATGAGCCACCAAAAGGGAAAGGGAAGAAGTCTAGTGAAAGGCGGAGTTATGCAAGAATGAAATGGTCCAAGTCCTTTGCCATTCCATTTTGCAGACTAAGGTGAAAGAGGATTTCTGTAACCATAAAATCCATATTCCTACAAAAGAATCACCACCTACTTGCCACTACATAACTTTTAAAAACAATGTATAATTTTGCTTGAATTGCAGAGATCTTGACTGCATTTCTCATTAGAGAAGAAGCACGACTCCCCACCAACCCCAGTCTGGACCCACACAGCCTTGGTGCCATGCCCATTTCAGCACGGCGTACAGGTGTAGTCTGGAGTTATGAAAGCTAAGAAACCAAAGTAAGCAAAAATGAAGGAGATAAGCAATGAAAGCAAGAAAGCAAGGAAGAGGAAAACAGCTGGAGGAAGATTCCAGGCTGACCCGCAGTAATCTTTTGCTCATTAAAAGTCATTAACATATTAAAAAAACAAACAAACATCAAAATGGAAAAGTATGGAAATGTAGGATTTGGTCTCCCCCCCTCAGATGTACTGGCCATGAACCAATGGATAATAGTTCTGGTGACCCAGATGGGACCCTAAATTGCCTTACCCAGTCCAACTCGTCACCATTAGTGTCAGAGGGGATCACCAGTGATCTGACTGTAGACCAGCCTCAACCCTCCAAAAGTCTGGGGCCAGCACAGCACAATGCTTTAAGGAATCCACTGAACACCAGGGGGATAAGGGGGAAGTGACTGGACTGGTGAGTGTGGTTTACATCTTGCTATGGGTATTTGGAGAGCAGATCGGCAGCCTCACAAGTAGACACTGTGGATCGGCAGGAAGAGGATACAGGCCCGTGAGGCACCTGACCTGACTGGTTGGTTAAAGATAAAACCGAGAGTGAGCACCAGCTGAATGGAAAATAGGAAGCAGTCAGTCCAAAATCCCCCCTTCCTCCACCATTGGATGCATACTTAAAAATTGGTCTAAATATGGTGGTGACTCCACGACAAAGGGTAAATGAGGCAATATTGTAATCAGCATAAACTGGATGATGGGAAACAATGGCCAGAAAATGGATCCTTGAATTACAATACCAAACTGTAATTGATGCTATTTTGCTGTTAGGAATGAAAATGGGATGAGGTGATGCATGTTAGTGGTTTTATGTCACTTTATCAGTACCTGGAAAGTCAGTTTGAGTGCAGGTTGTGAGAAAATCATATTATGCTATGTGCTGGGAAAAAAAGGGGTGGTGGTGGTAAATAATAACCCCCCTAAAATTTATGTAGATCTAGAAGAATAAGTTGTTAATGCTACCCTTGGTACCACTGCCATATAATCCAGGGGAGAACTCAGATGTTTCCCCAACTTCCAAAGCTCCTGTGGGGACATCAGCTTCTTCTCCTGAGGCCCAGGGTGATTCTGATTTTAGCCCAATAGCATATCACACTCAACAGAAAATGGGGCCAGTTATCCAGGCTCCACTAAGACAGGCAGCAGGACCACGGGAAAAACTTGTTGTTGTTTGTGTTCTGTTTACATCGGATTTGTTAAATTGGAAACAATCTGTTGGATCTTACAGGGATAATCCAGCAGCAATGCACCAGTTGTTAGAAACTATTATGATTACGGCTAATCCCAACTGGGAGGATATGCAAGCTTTATTAAACACCTTTTTGACCACAGAGAATGAAAGGAGAATGATTTTAGAGAAAGCTCAGGAGGAGACAAGGCAGAGGTACTCATGGGGAGAGGTAGTGGAATTATTACCAGTTAAGAAAGATCCTAAGTGGGACCCAAATACCAATAGAACAATATTGATAATTAATCCGATAGGCTAGAAAACTGACTCTGGGACAACCCTTGATGGTATTTGTGCTGCATGCAGTGCTAGCTGTAATGGAAGTCAAAGGAAACTGATGACTATCCCCAAGCCAGATGGCTAAATACCAAGCTGTACTAGTGACCAAGGAGACATAAAGTTGTCTATGGTCATCACCCTGAGCCTGGCTATGCTCCTTCCAGCCTTGGAGACAGGGGAAATCCAACATGACTGCATGGGTATCGCCAAGCACACTTATGCCAGCCAAGGATGAGCCGATTGCTAATGCAGACCTTGAGTATTTTACAGACAGTGGTAGTTTTATGGAAAATGAACAGTGTAAAGCACAATATGCAATAGTAACCTCTTGGGACACTGTAGAAGCAAAGTCACTACCTCATAATGCCTCAGCACAAAAAGCTGAACTAATTGCCTTGACTAGGGCCTTGGAAATAGCAGAAGGGAAACCCCTCAATGTCTATCCAGATTCTAAATATGTCTCCAGAGCTTTGCACGCTCATAGAGCCATCTGGAAAGAATGAGGGCTACTGACAACACCTGGAGGACCAATTAAGTACAGTCCAGAAATTTTACAGTTAGAGGCCCAAAGCTACAGCAGTAATGCACTGTAAGGCCCACCAAAAGAGTGATCACAACATAATAAAAGGGAACAGGAAAGCTGACTTAAAAGCCAAGGAAGAAGCTACAAGAGTACCAGGAGAGGTATGTTAGTCTCTTGTGCAAAGACTTCACTCAATTAACCAGAATATACAACTAAAGAGGTCCGACTAGCCAAAAAACTAAAATGTACAAAGCAGAAAGACGGATGGTGGAAGATCTCCAATGCACAGATCCTGATAACAAAAGTTATGAATAAACAGTTAATGAAAAATTTATAAGAAGGGACAGACTTTGCCACTGATGCCATGGTAAACCTGAAGACCTTTGCAATAGGACCAACAGTGCAAACTATCACAAACCAAGTAGTGTGAAGGTGCCCCTGTGCTGTGCAAACAACCCCAAGATCCAGCAAAAGCCACCACCAAGGGTGAGGTCTCTTCCAACCTAGAAATTCTGTGATTCTGTGATTCTGTGGGATGAAACTTGAGAGTACTGGCAAGTGAACTTTTCCAAATTGCCTTGACAAGGATCATATCGGTTACTCCTGGTTCTGGTGGACATGTCCACCAGGTGGCCTTCCTATGCAAAACTAATAAAGCTAGGGAGATTGTAAAGGCTTTGCCGAAAGAAAAAAATCCCTCATTTTAGAATACTGGAGGGACTCTCCTCAGACAATGGACCTCACTTTATATGAAAGTGGTTCAAGGAATACTGAGTTAGGGGGTCTTAAATACTCCTTGGGAACCACAAGGACAAGTAGAAAGAATGAATCAAACACTGAAAAAGCAGTTAACTAAAATTCATCAGGAAGCTCAACTGAAATGGCTGGAGGTCCTACCTTTGTTGGGCTTTGTTGGGAGTTAGGATAGCCCCCAGAGCTAGGGAAAAAGTTAGCCCCTTTGAACTGTTATATGGAAAACACTACCATGTAAATAAATTGGTGACAGAAAGGAGTCAAATTCATGTAAGGAGGGGAGGCTGGATGAGACAATATTTGCTGTCTTTGTCTGCTGTGTTGTCCTTTCTTCATAGATATGCATAGATATGTGCAGGAACGACTACTAATTCCACTGGATGGTGCATCCATTCCAACCTGGACATCAGGTACTGATCTGAATGTGGAAAGATGAGACTCCAAAAGAAAAGTAGAAAAGATCTTACACCTTGCTCCACACCCACACTGCAATCAAAGTGGAAGGGATCAAACTATGGATTTGATACACCTGCATAAAAGCAGCATCATTACAAAGGGAGAAATGGGACATAACCATCAGAAGAAGGAGCAGAAAAAACTATGTGGCAAGCTGAACAAACTGAGGACTGGAAACTGCTGTTTAAAAGGACAAAATTATTTTTATTCCAGTTATGGAATAAAAATTCCAGGCTAGGGAGGTGATCGTCCCCCTGTACTCAGCTCTGGTGAGGCCGCACATCGAGTACTGTGTTCAGTTTTGGGCCCCTCACTACAAGAAGGACATCGAGGTGCTTGAGCGGGTCCAAAGAAGGGCGACGAAGCTGGTGAGGGGCCTGGAGAACAATGGATGGATGTAGTAGACCTACTTCTTTCCTACGGTGCTACCATTACTTGCAAAGATGTTGCTGGCTACACGGCTGTGGATTATGCTCTCCAGTCGGGACACATTGGGTGAGTGTTTTGTACGTCGCTGTTAGAGCGGCTGAGTTGTCAGAGTGTCCATGCTGATTTGTCACCCTCTGTGGTAGATGCATAAAGTTTAATGAAAAGAAAATTAGAAATCCCGCTTGCGTTACTAAGCCCAGTTCCACTCCACTGGCCAGGAAAGAGGCGCCTGTTCTTTCAGTGGGGATCTTACCAGTGTCCCTTCAGATAAACCCTCAAAGAGATCCCTGGTGGCGTAGCAGGTCCACCATCGTGGGGAGACTGACACCGCACACAGACAGTTCTGAACCGGTTCCAAGTCAGTTGCTGTCCTCGGCAAGAGCAAGGATCCTGGGCAAGGATGTTTTGGATCTGACTGCCTGTACGTTCTCTCTTTCTACGCGTAGCATTGCCAGGAAACTGGTAGAACGCGCACACTGCGAAAAGACGGGAGAAGCTTCTGCTGATGCTGCACAAGACACAGCAGTCCCCAGCAGATTTTGCCCTCTGACGACTGAGCGTTTTCTATTTCACACACGTGCTTTGGATGGAGAAGGTAGGATCCTGTAGTGTGGAAGAGCTGATGAGGACTGTGGCCTGACGTCAGACCCTTTCCCTTATTTGGGGTCAGGGCTTGACTGGCAGGGAAACGCAGAGTGCCAGGAATGCTCACACTGTCTTGCTTCGTCCATCCCTTGTAGGCGCCCTGCCAGCTGTAGGAGCAGAGCAGGAGGAAGAGGCTGAATTGCCCACGGATCACAAGGTACTTTCTGTGAAGGACCCACTGGCTGCCACTTGGCTCGCTTACTTTGGGGCAAGTTTACCTCTGGGCTCGCTTCCCTCTGTTGCTGCCTCTGCCACATGGTTGTGACTGGGGGCCCTTGAACTACTTGTGCTCCAGCCCAGCTCTTCAGTTTGCACTGAGCTGGTGAAACTGCTAGGAGACCTGGGTCCTGCTGCAGCCGGCCGTTCCGTTACAGTTCCAGTCGAGGGGAAGCATATTCTACATAATGAAGCAGCAAAGGTTCTTCCTGCTGCTTAAAATCTTCTGAGCTTCTCAAAAGAACTGGCCATAAGTGGATTATTGCTTTTGACCGTACGCCACCAGCACTAAAATAACCTTTAGATGGACAAGTTTTAGGCCAACAACCAAGGGATAGCAGAGCATGGCTCATACAGAGAGCTGCTGATAGTTGAACCTAAGAAAGATGGAGAGAGGTTCCCAGCTGCGCAGATGCCTGGTGCTTGTGTGCGCCTGACCCTTCATTTCACTCAGAAGACTAACCTAATAGTAGAACAAAGAGTAAAAGCACGGCTCATATTCCCATGTTCTCACTGACTTTCTCACACTCACGGAACCCCATTTCTTTAGGATCGAGACAGAGAGCTGCAGCTGGAGCTTCCTGTTGCTCTTCAAAGACTATTAAGGTTACAAGAAGCCACACGCGAATATACTGAGAGCCAGCGCAGTGACATGGAGAAAGGCATACAGTACTTGCGAGCACAACTGAACGTATTTAAAGCTGAGGTATGTAAAGGCTGCACTATAAGGATAAATCTGAGGGTGGTTGCCCTTTCTCTGCCCTTCTTCCCCCTCTCTGCTGCTGACCAACACAGAAAGCTCTTTGGGGAGCTTTTTGCAAGCTGGAGGGGCAAGGCAGTGCATTAGGAGCCCCCTTCTGGTGGGGAGGTATGACCAGAGTAGTTTGCTGTCTGTAAAAACTCGCTTCTAAAAAAGGTTGGCCAAGCTGCTAGGAGACCTGGGTCTCACTGCAGCTGGCCTTTCAGTTAGAGTTCCAGTCGAGGGGAAGCATATTCTACATAACGAAGCAGCAAAGGTTCTTCCCGCTGCTTAAAATCTTCTGAGCTTCTCAAAGGGGCTGGCTGGGAGTGGCCTGTTGCTTTTCACCATACCTCACCAGCGCTCTGGTAACCTTCACGTGGCAATTTTTAAGGCCAACAACGAAGGCATACCAGAGAATAGCACTGAGGGCTTGCAGCTCTGCTTTCAGTGTGCATGCCTTGGTTGCGAGCATGTTCTCAGAAGCTGCAGGGAGATTCCAGGCCATGCTTAAGCTCTGGCAGAAGAAGTCTGGCCTCTGCTTTGCAAGTGCTGAAATGCCCCTGGAGGCAACAACAGTTCTGCAGAGTCCATTCTCCGCTGCCCGCCTTTTTGTGTAGGCAGAAAGCCCCTGCCCAGTCTCTCAGCCTATGTTCCAAGAAGAGAAAAAACCTTAAGCCTCCCCTGTGTTTTAAGAAACAGAAACCCTCACAAAGAGCTGCTGGTGGTTGAGGCTAAGAAAGATGGAGAGAGGTCCCCAGCTGTGCAGATGCCCGGCGGTGGCGCGCTTCCAATGCTTTGTTTCAGGCAGAAGACTGACCTCGTTGTAGAAGCTAATGAGTAAAAGCACAGCTCATATTCCCAGGTTCTCACTGACTTTGTCATGCTCACGGAACCCCATTTCTTTAGGATCGAGACAGACAGCTGCAGATGGAGCTTCCTGGTGCTCCTGAAAGTCTGTCTGTGTCAGAAGCCCCACCTGAGGCTACTGAGAGCCAGCGCAGGGACGATGAGAAAGATGCAGAGCGCTTGCGAGAGGAATTGAGAACGGCTAAAGCTGAGGTATGGAAAGGCTGCACTATAGGGATAAATCTGAGAGTGGTTGTGCTTTCTCTTCCCTTCTTCCCCCCTTTCTGCTGGTGACCAACACAACGGGCCTTTGGAGGAGGAGAGCAAGACAGCACCACAGCTGACCTTTGGGACTTAATGGAACATCTGCTATATCCTCCGTATCTTTGCAACCACACATCAGCTTTGACCTAGAGAGAAAAGGCCTTCCTCCAGCAGCTCTGTCAAAGTGGCCTCCTGAGGCACTGTTTCCAAAGCTTTCAGAGTAACGGCAGGAAGAGCATTGGTTGCTCGTGCCTACTCCGTTCTGCACTGCAGCGCTTCCCCCAACACACACACAATAGGCGTTCTTTCTGGTGTCTGGGTAGAGGCGTGTTTGATGTCCCACGAGCAGAGGAGCATTTCGGGCAAGAGCGTCCCTAGCACCTTTCAGGCCAGTCTCGTCTCCCTGCAGAAGAACCGAGGAAGGATGGAAACTTGGGGAATCCTTTGCTTTCAATACCAAGTCAGAAGGTGACAAACACCATCTTGACGCCCTACCCCTTTGTGCTTTGCTCTCCACAGCTCAAAGAACTTTCGCAGCAGCTGGAGATGAAGTCTGAAAAACGCAGGCAGCTAGAAGCACAAAATTGCGACCTGCAAGAAGAGCTGTCTGCTCTGCGTGGCTCTCAGGAAAAACTGGAGAAGACCAATGGCCAGCTGCAAGAAGAGGTGGCATACCTCAAAGATCTCCTGAAGACTTCCAAGGTGAGTCTCGTGCAAAAGCAACAGCATGAGACAGAGATAAGAAAGGGCCTGAAAAGGAACAAGTGCTCATAGCAGAAGTCGCAGGACATATTTGTATTTGGGGTCTTGCCCCTCTTTCTTTCTGTGAGGTGTTGTTCTCCACTGGTGCAGAAGTCCCCGTGAATTGTGTATGGAGCCTATGGAAAAGGCTTACAAGCAGAGCACTGTCTTACAGAGGCAAAATGTCTTAGTACTAGCTCTGAGGTTAAAACGGAGTGCTGAGAACTGGTGTCGTCCAGATTAAAATGAACGGTTGACCTGGGGCAGTTTCTGGCTTCTGCCTTGACAACTGCTGGTAGTGAGGAGGCAGAGTGGCCTGCCCTTAGTGAGGCTGAGCCCTTGAAACTGGCTATGTGATAGGTAAACATGAGCTCTGGATTCTGCAGGATTTTGTCTTTTTTTTTTTTTTTTTTGTCTGTTAATGTTCATGCCTGTGTTGTTCTTTGCCATGCTGCTTCTTGTATTGTGAGTTGTCTGTTCTCTCCTTGGTGCTCCTTCTGTTGTCATACGTAGCAGGTGAACGCAGATGCAGTTGTCGTTATGAGTCAAAATGAACGTGCAGAGCAGTATCTGTGGGGGCACTCTGAGGGCAGGCTGCTCTGTGGAGGAAGGACGAGCTGAGAGTCACAGCAAGGCTGGCGGGCTCAGTGGCTTCACAGGCCATGGCACTTTTCAGTTCTGGCAGGTGCAACTCCACCTGTCTGAAGTTGGCTCTGCCCAAGATCACTTCTGGAGCCCTGTCTTAGGAGTTGAGACAGTGACGTTTTTGTAACTTGCCGCTCACCAGCTGCTGTCTCAGGCCGTCTTTCCCTAGCCATGGGCACCCTGATGTCGAGGACCAAGAAGTGCTTTTGAGCTGCCATGGGTGTCTTGTTCAGTTGCATGGAACCCTTTAGCTACCTTTCCCCTCGTTACTGAGAGGTGCTGCTAAGGCACACGTGTGCTTTAGAAGGTTCTGTAGAAGGACTCAAGTGCCCTTGTGGTGGCCCATTCTTAGTCCAAAGGCTCGTAGCATTCTCGTGGCTTCACTGCCATTAGAAGAGTGCTGTTATTTGAGAGGAAATAGCATTGTGTGTAGGCACTGTAAAATGAAGATTATTTTTTTATTTTATTTTTTGTTTGTTTCCTGAGGGTTTCTGTTTTTCTTGTTGTTGTTTGTTTGTTTGTTTGTTTCTATCTATTTATAATAGGCAGGAACCTCCCGAGTGTATTTTAAGTAGGTATAAAAAAGGGTGTATTTCTGGAGGAGGAGAGCAAGACAGCACCGCTGCTGACCTTTGGGACTTAATGGAACATCTGCTATAACCTCCGTATCCTTGCAACCACACATCAGCTTTGACCTAGAGAGAAAAGGCCTTCCTCCAGCAGCTCTGTCAAAGTGGCCTCCTGAGGCACTGTTTCCAAAGCTTTCAGAGTAACGGCAGGAAGAGCATTGGTTGCTCGTGCCTACTCCGTTCTGCACTGCAGCGCTTCCCCCCACACACACACACAATAGGCGTTCTTTCTGGTGTCTGGGTAGAGGCGTGTTTGATGTCCCACGAGCAGAGGAGCATTTCGGGCAAGAGCGTCCCTAGCACCTTTCAGGCCAGTCTCGTCTCCCTGCAGAAGAACCGAGGAAGGATGGAAACTTGGGGAATCCTGCCAGCAGTGATCTAAAAGCTGTTGTGTTAAAAGACGAGCCTGCCTTTACTTTCAATACCAAGTCAGAAGGTGACAAACACCATCTTGACGCCCTACCCCTTTGTGCTTTGCTCTCCACAGCTCAAAGAACTTTTGCAGCAGCTGGAGATGATGTCTAAAAAACGCAGGCAGCTAGAAGCACAATATTGCAACCTGCAAGAAGAGCTGTCTGCTCTGCGTGGCTCTCAGGAAAAACTGGAGAAGACCAATGGCCAGCTGCAAGAAGAGGTGGCATACCTCAAAGATCTCCTGAAGACTTCCAAGGTGAGTCTCGTGCAAAAGCAACAGCATGAGACAGAGATAAGAAAGGGCCTGAAAAGGAACAAGTGCTCATAGCAGAAGTCGCAGGACATATTTGTATTTGGGGTCTTGCCCCTCTTTCTTTCTGTGAAGTGTTGTTCTCCACTGGTGCAGAAGTCCCCGTGAATTGTGTATGGAGCCTATGGAAAAGGCTTACAAGCAGAGCACTGTCTTACAGAGGCAAAATGTCTTAGTACTAGCTCTGAGGTTAAAACGGAGTGCTGAGAACTGGTGTCGTCCAGATTAAAATGAACGGTTGACCTGGGGCAGTTTCTGGCTTCTGCCTTGACAACTGCTGGTAGTGAGGAGGCAGAGTGGCCTGCCCTTAGTGAGGCTGAGCCCTTGAAACTGGCTATGTGATAGGTAAACATGAGCTCTGGATTCTGCAGGATTTTGTCTTTTTTTTTTTTTTTTTTGTCTGTTAATGTTCATGCCTGTGTTGTTCTTTGCCATGCTGCTTCTTGTATTGTGAGTTGTCTGTTCTCTCCTTGGTGCTCCTTCTGTTGTCATACGTAGCAGGTGAACGCAGATGCAGTTGTCGTTATGAGTCAAAATGAACGTGCAGAGCAGTATCTGTGGGGGCACTCTGAGGGCAGGCTGCTCTGTGGAGGAAGGACGAGCTGAGAGTCACAGCAAGGCTGGCGGGCTCAGTGGCTTCACAGGCCATGGCACTTTTCAGTTCTGGCAGGTGCAACTCCACCTGTCTGAAGTTGGCTCTGCCCAAGATCACTTCTGGAGCCCTGTCTTAGGAGTTGAGACAGTGACGTTTTTGTAACTTGCCGCTCACCAGCTGCTGTCTCAGGCCGTCTTTCCCTAGCCATGGGCACCCTGATGTCGAGGACCAAGAAGTGCTTTTGAGCTGCCATGGGTGTCTTGTTCAGTTGCATGGAACCCTTTAGCTACCTTTCCCCTCGTTACTGAGAGGTGCTGCTAAGGCACACGTGTGCTTTAGAAGGTTCTGTAGAAGGACTCAAGTGCCCTTGTGGTGGCCCATTCTTAGTCCAAAGGCTCGTAGCATTCTCGTGGCTTCACTGCCATTAGAAGAGTGCTGTTATTTGAGAGGAAATAGCATTGTGTGTAGGCACTGTAAAATGAAGATTATTTTTTTATTTTATTTTTTGTTTGTTTCCTGAGGGTTTCTGTTTTTCTTGTTGTTGTTTGTTTGTTTGTTTGTTTCTATCTATTTATAATAGGCAGGAACCTCCCGAGTGTATTTTAAGTAGGTATAAAAAAGGGTGTATTTCTGGAGGAGGAGAGCAAGACAGCACCGCTGCTGACCTTTGGGACTTAATGGAACATCTGCTATAACCTCCGTATCCTTGCAACCACACATCAGCTTTGACCTAGAGAGAAAAGGCCTTCCTCCAGCAGCTCTGTCAAAGTGGCCTCCTGAGGCACTGTTTCCAAAGCTTTCAGAGTAACGGCAGGAAGAGCATTGGTTGCTCGTGCCTACTCCGTTCTGCACTGCAGCGCTTCCCCCCACACACACACACAATAGGCGTTCTTTCTGGTGTCTGGGTAGAGGCGTGTTTGATGTCCCACGAGCAGAGGAGCATTTCGGGCAAGAGCGTCCCTAGCACCTTTCAGGCCAGTCTCGTCTCCCTGCAGAAGAACCGAGGAAGGATGGAAACTTGGGGAATCCTGCCAGCAGTGATCTAAAAGCTGTTGTGTTAAAAGACGAGCCTGCCTTTACTTCAATACCAAGTCAGAAGGTGACAAACACCATCTTGACGCCCTACCCCTTTGTGCTTTGCTCTCCACAGCTCAAAGAACTTTCGCAGCAGCTGGAGATGATGTCTGAAAAACGCAGGCAGCTAGAAGCACAATATTGCAACCTGCAAGAAGAGCTGTCTGCTCTGCGTGGCTCTCAGGAAAAACTGGAGAAGACCAATGGCCAGCTGCAAGAAGAGGTGGCATACCTCAAAGATCTCCTGAAGACTTCCAAGGTGAGTCTCGTGCAAAAGCAACAGCATGAGACAGAGATAAGAAAGGGCCTGAAAAAGAACAAGTGCTCATACCAGAAGTCGCAGGACATATTTGTATTCGGGGTCTTGCCCCTCTTTCTTTCTGTGAGGCGTTGTTCTCCACTGGCGCAGAAGTCACTGAACTGAACAGAATTATGTATGGAGCCTTTGGAAAAGGCTTACTTTCTCCTCCTGAGAAATAGGATCGTTGCCCTGTGGTAGTTTCCGTGTTCTGCCTTGACTGCTGGTGGTAGTGAGGAGGCGAGTGCCGTGCCCTCAGTGAGGCTGGGCCCTTGAAACTGGCTATGTGCGACTGATGGGGGGATGGTTCTCTTCTTCTTTGTGGTGATGGAAGTTTCATTATCTGCTTCAGACACGGGCAGCCTCCCCAGACATGCATGAACTGTCAAGATCTCCTCCTTGTGCTTCTCCGAGCAAGAAGCCAACGCACAGAAGCAGACATGCTGACTCTGAAGAGGACGATGGAGGGAGAAAGACACTGCAAGAGCATACTTTTCCAGATGAGTCCATTGAGGCAAAACTGGAAAGGTACAAGCACTACTGTCAGGAGGAACGAAAGCTCAGAAGACTTCCAGAGAAAAAACCTGCAAAGGTATGTGCAGACTGCTTTTTGGAGTGAGAGCAAGATGCTGCTTTTTCCTTGTACATTCTCCTCCTAAGAACCCTCTTGTATGCCTGGTCAACATGATGTCAGTAAATATGCCTACAATTGCACAGTCCCTGTCTGCGCCTGCTCCCCGTGGGGTCCCTCTCACAGGATGCTGTCCTTCCTGAACTGAGCCTGCGGGGGCTGTCCACAGGCAGCGGCTCTTCAAGCACTGCTCCCACACGGCTCTGTACCACGGGGTCCATCCCCCAGGAGCAAATTGCTCCAGCACAGGTCCCCCATGGGTGGCAGCTCCCCCTAGCCCCCCTGCTCCTGCGTGGGCTCCTCTCCACGGGCTGCAGCTCCGGCCCGGGGCCTGCTCCCATGGGGGCTCTCCATGAGCCACAGCCTCCTCCAGGCCACAGCCACCTGCTCCACCGGGGGCTCCTCCACCCATGGGGGGGCTGCAGCGTGGAGATCCTTCTCACAGAGGCCACCTCTGCAGCCCCTTGCAACCCAAACCCTGCCATGTACACCCAACACAGCGATGTAAGGCAGAAAAGAGGAACTGCATGTCCTATTGTCGTGGCAACAAACTAAGAATGCTTAAAGAAGTATGAGCCTTCTAGAGAGCAGAACCTGATTCTGTGAAGTCTATGGCTTTGGCTGCCATTTCGGCAGCAAGTCTGAGATTGGAGTTTTCCTTAGGCAGGGGAGGATATCCCTGACTCTTTATGCAGCTGATGCATCTTCCAGAAGAAGCCACATAAATCCACAGCATCGGTGATACTTTTGCACCATGGATGCAGGCTCTCCAAAAACCTCAAATCAAATGATGTTTTTGTGTTTAGACGCCATTCATCCCTTCCACTCTCAGAAGTCAAATGCTGGTCAAAGACCTGGAGAGCAGCTTTGCCAAACTGTAACCAAATATAATTCTTGCATGCATCTGACTTTTTCAGAGCTCGTCAGAGTCTAGACAAAAACAAGCTAAGCTCCACCCGAAGCACCACTGAAGCCTGCGTGCCTAAGGTCAGCATTCATAAATGTTATTCTCAACCTCTCTGAAAGAATATCTGTGAGCAAGCTTACGCTTCTGAGCCTCAAGTTAGAATCCCTTTTGTGGGTCCAAAACACACCGTCTTTATGCTAAAACAACTGCTAAGCATCAGAAGAGTACACAACTGTATGGGGGAGGGCTGAAGACCTCTGGTCATTGGGGGGTGTGCAAAATACAGAGTGCCCTTCTTCTTCTGCAAAGCCATAAGGGAAAGAGTGAAGGGAAAGAAAGGGAGAATAGACAAAATGACCGTACAAATGGTAATGAGAGAACAGGCACCAGACAAAGACATGCCACACCGAAGGCTGCGGTAGGGCCAGGTGGCAGCACGAACATGTTTGCCTTTTCAAAGGCAGATCCTTTTCAGCCTTTTCAAGTGAATTCGGAAGCTGCATTTTAGGAGTAGTGTTCCAAAGAATGCCCAGTTTGAATGCTTAGGGAGTAGGGACACTCGAGGATGAAGAGGGCTGCAGAGGACTAAGGCTAACAACACTGGTGCTGCTTCCCCACAATACGACAGGACCCATCAGTGAACAGGGCATATTTCTTTTCATTCTCTGGTAACTGGTTGTACAGTGGGGCTTCTTCAGCATGACCCACCTCCTCCTCTGATGATATCCCAAAGTATTTGCCTTCTGGCCAGTCCATAATCACTTCCAATATTCCTGGGCGACTGGGGTTTCCTATTCGAGCCCGCTGAGTAATCAGTGCAACCCACTTGCTCCATGTAGCATCAGTTGCATGATGCGTAGAGGGGACCCTTCCCTTGAACATCCAGCCTAGTACTGGCAATCGGGGTGCTAGGAGGAGCTGCGCTTCAGTACCGACCACCTCCGAAGCAGATCGAACTCCTTCATATGCTGCCAATATCTCCTTTTCAGTTGGAGTATAGCGGGCCTCAGATCCTCTGTATCCCCGACTCCAAAACCCCAGGGGCCGACCTCGAGTTTCCCCAGGTTCTTTCTGCCAGAGGCTCCAGGTGGGGCCGTTCTCCCCGGCTGCAGTGTAGAGCACATTCTTTACATCTGGTCCTGTTCGAATTGGCCCAAGGGCTACTGCTTGGACTATTTCCTGCTTGATTTGTTCAAAGGCTTGTCGTTGTTCAGGGCCCCATTCAAACTCATTCTTCTTACGGGTTACTTGGTAGAGCGGGTTTACAATCAGACTGTAATTTGGGATGTGCATTCTCCAAAACCCCACAACACCTAGGAAAGTCTGTGTTTCTTTTTTGTTAGTTGGTGGAGACATAGCTGTTATTTTGTTGATCACATCCATTGGGATTTGACGATGTCCATCTTGCCATTTTATTCCTAAACACTGGATCTCTTGTGCAGGTCCTTTGACTTTATTATGTTTTATGGCAAAACCGGCTTTCAGAAGGATTTGGACTATTTTCTTCCCTTTCTCGAAAACTTCCTCTGCTGTGTCACCCCACACAATAATGTCATCGATGTACTGCAGGTGTTCAGGAGCTTCCCCCTGCTCTAGTGCAGACTGGATCAGTCCATGGCAAATGGTAGGGCTGTGTTTCCACCCCTGGGGCAGCCTATTCCAAGTATATTGGACTCCCCTCCAAGTGAAGGCAAATTGTGGCCTGCACTCTGCTGCTAGAGGGATGGAGAAAAATGCATTAGCGATATCAATTGTGGCATACCACTTGGCTGCCTTCGATTCAAGTTCGTACTGAAGTTCCAGCATGTCCGGCACTGCAGCACTCAGTGGTGGCCTGACTTCGTTCAGGCCGCAATAGTCCACTGTTAGTCTCCACTCGCCATTAGACTTTCACACTGGCCATATGGGACTATTGAAAGGTGAATGAGTCTTGCTGATCACTCCTTGGCTCTCCAATTGACGAATTAGCTTATGGATGGGAATCAGGGAGTCTCGGTTAGCGCGATATTGCCGCCGGTGCACAGTTGTGGTAGCGATTGGCACTTGCTGTTCTTCGACCCTCAGCAACCCCACAACAGAGGAGTCCTCTGAGAGACCAGGCAAGGTAGATAATTGTTTAATGCCCTCTGTCTCTAAGGCAGCTATACCAAAAGCCCACCAGAACCCTTTTGGGTCCTTGCAATATCCTCTTCTAAGATAGTCTATGCCAAGGATACATGGAGCATCCGGGCCAGTCACAAGGCGGTGCTTTTCCCACTCATTCCCAGTCAGACTCACTTCAGCCTCCAATACAGTCAACTGCTGAGATCCCCCTGTCACTCCACAAATATAGATGGGCTCTGGTCCTTTATAGCTCGATGGCATTATAGTACATTGTGCACCGGTGTCTACTAAAGCCTTATACTTCTGTGCGTGTGACGTGCCAAGCCATCGAACCCACACAGTCCAATAAACTCGATTGTCCCTTTCCTCCCCCTGGCTGGAGGCAGGGCCCCCCTAATCCTGGTCAGAATCTTCTTCGTTTCTGTGTTTGAAGGACTGTCTGCTGGAAGTTGGAGCAGCAAACTTTTCGGAGAATCCCTTTTTCCCAATTGTTTTCTTTTGCAATTCACGTACCCGTGCCTCTAGGGTCGCGGTAGATTTTCCATCCCATTTTCTCATGTCCTCTCCATGGTCTCGTAAGTAAAACCACAGGGTGGCACGGGGTGAGTACCCACCATATCGTCTTCCTTGTGTGGGTGAACGCCTACCCCTGATAGCTGAGACACTGCTTTGTACAGGTACGGAGGAGAATAATCTCTCTTCAAGTTGGTGAAACTTTTCAGAAAGTTTCTCCCAAGTGTTCTCTTTCGGTCGTTGGACACTGGTTGGTTCAGGTTGGGGGGAAGATAGATTCTCTTTAAGTTGGTGGACCTCTTCAGAAAGTTTCTCCACAGCTGAGACGCAGGCCTGTAAGGAAGAGGAGAGACTTTCTTCGTACTGCCAGAGTTGTTTAGCCACTTCATCCACTGTGGGTTCCTCATCCTCTTTCCAGGCCATTATTGCCAATGAGCTGGCATATGATGATGGTGCACTCCGTACAAACTTCCGCCACATGGGTCGTGTACACCTGCCTTCATCTGGGTCTTTGGGTGTTTGTCTGAGGTCTGGATCCTCATAAATCACTTCCCGTACGGCTAATTCCCTCAGGTACTGGATTCCCTTCTCCATAGTGGTCCACTTGCCTGGTAGACATAAAATATCTTCCTTGAAGGGATACCTTTCCCTCACAGCTGAGAGGAGACGCCTCCAGAGGCTGGTGGATTGTGCTCCATTTCCAATTGCTTTGTCAATGCCGGCGTCTCGAGCAAGGGATCCCAGCCGCTTGGCTTCCCTGCCGTCTAATTCCACACAATTGGCTCCAGAGTCCCAGCACCGGAGCAGCCAGGTGACAAGCTGCTCACCTATACAGCAACCAAAATCTTTTCGCACATCTCGTAGCTCACGCTCGTTTAGGCTTCGGGTAGTTACTGTTGATTTTTCGGCATCCTCATCTTCCTCCTCCTGAATCCTTGATGGCCCAGCGTCGTCGTCATCTCCGTCATCTCTATACCTAGATTTGGCAGAAGACTCTCTGCGTTCTAAATGACCTGAATCTCTATACCATTTTTTCACCTTCTCTACAGGGGCAGCTTGCACTGCTACTGCTTGTTTCTCTGACTTTGTTACAGGGTCTGCCACAGAGGTTGGAATACCCTCTGCAGGGTCAACTTGCACTGCTACAGCTCGTTTCTCTGACCCCATTACAGGGGTTGGAATACCCTCTGCAGGGTCAACTTGCACTGCTACAGCTCGTTTCTCTGACATGGCCACAGGAGCTGGAGCGGCTGCAGGAGCTGGGGCTGGAGCAGCTGCAGGAACTGGCACTGGAGCAGCGGCAAGAGCTGGATCTGGAGCAGCTTCAGGAGCTGGAGCTGGAGCGGCTGCAGGAGCTGGAGCTGGAGCAGTTGCAGGAGCTGGGACTGGAGTAGCGGCAGGAGCTGGAGCTGGAGCGGCTTCAGGAGCTGGAACTGGAGCGACTGCAGGAACCGGAGCTGGAGCAGCTGCAGGAACCGGAGCTGGAGCGGCTGCAGAGTCCACTGTAGGGGTCACAGTGGCCGTTGGATCTGTCACAGGGCTTGGAGTGGCCGCAGGGTCTGTCACTAAGTTGATAGCAGTATCAATGGCAGCTCGATAGGCATGAGCCAGGCCCCAGCACGTTACAAAGATTTGTGTTACTTTGGAACTGCCAGAATCATGACACCTTTTTTTCAAGCATTCTGCCAGTTTTTGAGGATTTTGCCATTGTTCAGGGGTGAATTTCCAAAACACTGGGGGTGCCAACTGTTCTAGATGCCTGCCCATATCCACCCATACTCCCTGCCACCCACAACTATACTGCCTCCGGGCAGATCTCCGGATGAGCTTCCTAAGTAGTTGTTTAACTTTAAGCAGAATCTGAAGTGCATTCATGAGGCAGAACAACAAGACTATGGTAGTCTGAGTATCCCAAGAATATTCAATATCTTGGAGAGCTATTGTGACAAGCTCAGGGGATAAGAAGGTGGTGAAGGAGGAAGGCAGAGTGATCCAGGAGGATACAGGGGTGGTGAAGGAGAAAGGGAGAGTAATCAAGTAAGAAAAAATATCTTCCCCTTTCCCCTCCACGGATTGACTCTCTAATGGAGAAAAACAATAGGTACAATTGCTAATAGTTCCCAAGATACTGTTTCCAAAGTACAGAGTCCACGATGTTACTGAGTATAAATACCAAGTTAGAGTCATGACCAGATATCTTATCGTCTCATAAGCCATTGCTATAACACTCAGTACCATAATGATCTGAAACCAGGGCCCGGAGAGGATAAACAACACTACAGAGAGCAAATACGGAAAATAATGTACTATAATACTCAATTTGGAAAACAGGCGCAGCAGAGTTGAGATTAAAGCAATCAGCATCATGACAAGTGACTATTAAGAAGGTCTAATCCTTACACCAATTTTAGTTTAACACACTCTGGTCAGATCTGCCGTTATCTCAACCATTCGGGCCCCACGTTGGGCGCCAAAAAGACTGTCGTGGTTTAACCCGGCCGGCAGCTAAACACCACGCAGCCGTTCGCTCACCCAGGGGTGACTCCGTCCCAGGAGGGGCTCCCTCTCTGGGACGGGGGAGAGAAATGGAAAGTGAAGCCCGTGAGTTGAGATAAAGACAGTTTAATAAGACAGGAAAATAATAATAACAAAAATAATAATAACAATAATAATACAATGGTGATAATAGGAAAGTAATAATAATATGTACAAACAAGTGATGCACAATGCAATTGCTCACCACTCGCTGACCAATGCCCAGCCTAACCCCGAGGAGTCCGGCCCCCTCCCCCCAGCTAGCCACCCCTATATATTGTTTAGCATGAGGTCAGATGGTATGGAATACCCCTTTGGCTAGTTTGAATCACCTGTCCTGGGTCTGTCCTCTCCCAGCTCTTACTGCACCGCCAGCCTGCCCGTTGGCAGGACAGAGCAAAAGGCTGAGATGTCCTTGGCTTAGTATAAGCACTGCTCTGCAACAATTAAAGCATCGGGGTGTTATCAGCACTCTTCTCATCCTAAGCCAAAACACAGCATTCCACCAGCTACTAGGAAGAAAATTAATTCTGTTCTAACTGAAACCAGGACAGAGGGCCACACTGCCCCACACTCCAGCAGTGACTGCGGCAGTTTCTGGCTCCTGCCTTCAGAGCTCTTTGTGCCTCAGTTGACGTTCTTCCGCAGTGTGGATGGGGATCTGGGGCCATGCGACGGGGCTGGGCTCCTCAGGAGGCACCGAGAACATGCCTGGCTGGCAAGGGCACTGCATTACTTCCCTGGGGCCATGGTTGAGCTGGCACCTGCCCCAGTTGTACTGGGTCTGGCTGGGATGGAGCTAACATTCCCTGCAGCAGCCCATACAGGGTTGTTCTCTGCACTTGTACGGAATCATTAAGGTTGGAAGTTGCCTTCAGGATCATCTGGTCCAACCATCACCCTACTACCACTGTCACTCACTAACCCACGTCCCTAAGCGCCAGGTCCAACCTTTCCTTGAACACCCCCAGGGACAGTGACGCCACCACCTCCCTGGGCAACCCGCTCCAATGCCCGACTGCTCTTTCTGAGGAGAAATGTCTCCTAATTTATAAGCTTATCCTCCCCTGGTGCAGCTTGAGGCCATTCCCTCCAATCCTGCCACTAGTTACCTGAGAGAAGAGGTGGACCCCCAGCTCGCCACACCTTCCTTTCAGGTAGCTGTAGACAGCAACGAGGTCTCCCCTGAGCCTCCTCTTCTCCAGACTAAACAACCCCAATTGCCTCAGCCGCTCCTCACAGGACTTGTGCTCCTGGCCCCTCACCAGCTTCACAGCCCTCTTCCCGTTCCAGGGCCTCGATGTCCTTCTTGCACTGAGGAGCCCAAAGCCGAACACAGTACTCAAGGTGCAGCCTCACCAGAGCAGAGGACAGAGGAAAAATCACCTCCCTGTTCCTGCCGGCTGCGCTGTTCCTGATACTAACCAGGATGCCACTGGTCTTCTTGGACACCTGGGCACACTGCCGGCTCATGTTCAGGCCAGCATGGACCAACACGCCCGGATCCTTTTCCTCTGCACAGCTCTTGAGCCACTCTCCCCCAAGCCTGTGGCGCTGCATGAGATTGTTGTGGCCAAAGTGCAGGACCCGGCACTTAGCCATGTTGAACGTCATCCCATTGGCCTCTGCCCATCGAAGCATCCTGTCCAGGTCACTCTGCAGGGCCTTCTGTATTTTAGGAGTAGTTTTAGCTGTATTTTAGGAGTAGTTTTCCAAAGAATGCCCAGTTTGAATGCTTAGGGAGTAGGGACACTCGAGGATGAAGAGGGCTGCAGAGGACTAAGGCTAACACTGCTAAGCAAGAGTCGTTTGCAGGTTAGCTCACAACGTTCCGTTTGTAGCTTCTGGAATTTCCTTCACTAACTTTTCACATACTGGTAATTGGAGGTGAAAACATGTGTTCTTGCCTTGTGCATTTCCTTATTTTGCATTTCCCTATTTTCACAGCTGAACATTATTACAGACCAGATGAAGGTGGAGCAGAGGACGTCCCAGTCCAGAAAACAAGGCGGTTCTGTGCAGATAACAGCCCGCCTTTAATTCCAAGTTCTGTCGCCCACCACCTTGGCATGTAATAAACCATGTCATGTAGTGCGGGTCTTTGTCGTCTTCTCTTCTCCCTTCTGGGCTTTGCTTCTCCCCTCCCCTACTCATTTGACCTTTCCCTCTAATTCCTGCCGCTGGCAGGGGCACAGCATTACTTCCCCATCCATGGCTGCGGTTGATCTGGCAGCTGTCCTGGCTCACCCCCGCACTCTCCCAGGCACGGGGCAGCACCGTGCCCACATGCAGGGACAGTCCCCCCCTGACGTCCAGCTCCTGCGGGGCCATTCTTCACTTGTGCTGCCACAGTGGTGCTGCTGCATTGGTGACAGCGGCTGAAGGTGTTCCCGTGCTCCAGACCGTCTGGGTGCCCTCCCCAGCGATGGCCCTCCCCAGATTTGCCAGAGGAATGGCAGAAGATCTCTTCCTATAGGAGTATTGGGTTTACATAGCCAGGTTTTATCTGCAGGGCGCTGCAGGGGTAGCCTCTGTGAGAAGAGTCCAGAAGGTGCCCCATGTTAGATAAGGGCCAGATTCCGTTGGCTCCAAAGGGACCTGATGCTGGCCAGAGATGAGCCAAAAATTGCTCTTTGTGCATCCGTGAGAGCATATTTAAGAAAGGGAAAACAAACAAAGCACACAGTGACACAACTGCAGCTGGGAGAGTGAGGGGTGAGAACCAGCCCTGCAGCTGTCGGATAACCCAACCGAAAGCCCTGGGACAAACTGACACAACGACCAGCGCTCTGTGCCGTAAGCCAATTTATTGCTGCGTGACATTATCTTATAGAGTGTCAAAGTGTCCCACCCAGGAACCCAGGACCCCTCCCACACCCCTCCCACTGTGCTCGCAGGCACCCCAGACCCTTCCCCTCGTGCACACAGGCACAACCCAGAATAATCCCGCAGCAGCCCCCAAGCTCAGTGCAGCAGGAGGGCAGGAGGTGCTCCAGGCATGCAGCAGCAGTTCCCCTGCAGCCTGTGGAGAGGCCCCTGGTGGAGCAGGCTGTCCCCTTGCAGCCCATGGGTCCCGCATAGAGCAGATCTCCACGCTGCAGCCCCCCCATGGGTGGAGGAGCCCCCGGTGGAGCAGGTGGCTGTGGCCTGGAGGAGGCTGCGGCCCATGGAGAGCCACTGCAGGAGTAGGCCCCGGTGAGAGAATCTTATTAAGAGTTAGGAGAATCTTATTAAGTAGAGATAGAGCACTTACGGCATTATACTAGGATGCTACTTAGTGTCTTTGGTAAGTGTGGTGCATATTGCAAATTAACTAAAGCAAGAAGATTTGGGCCCCTTACCAAGGTCGGTCTCCTAATACAAGTGTAAGCCTATTCTAAGAAACTGGTAGAAACTGGTCCTGCAGATGGACAAGAGCCAAGGAGTAACTGTGTCTGCGCAAAGACAAGAGGCCAAGTAGCGTTGATGAGGAAGAGTCATCAATCTTCATCCGCTTGACCCCCGACAACTACCACCAGAATATGGGATTAGTTTATGGAAATGACTCCTTGGAACTGATTTTAATATGAAGCAGAGACAGATTATGAATATGTATACGCGTATTGTGAAACTTCATGAGTACATAACTCTTTACTGCATACAACCAAGGCAAGTTGCCGTATCATGTGCACACGACTTTGGTGGGACTACCACTTTGCTGCCCAGCGCTGAATAAATATACCTACTGTACAATCATTCTGATTGTTGGGTCCGTTTCTAGAAGTCTTCTGAGCTTTCGTTCCTCCCGACAGTAGTGCTTGTACCTTTTCAGTTTTGCCTCAATGTACTCATCTGGAAAAGTATGCTCTTGCAGTGTCTTTCTCCCTCCATCCTCCTCTTCAGAGTCAGCATCTCTGCTTCTGTGCGTTGGCTTCTTGCTTGGAGAAGCACAAGGAGGAGATCTTGACAGTTCATGCATGTCTGGGGCGGCTGCCCGTGTCTGAAGCAGATAATGAAATTTCCCTTGGGAATTGAAATCACTTCTCAACACATTCCAATCCCACTTCTAACAAACATTTTTCACTTTCTTATAGTTTATAATTTGTAAACAGTTGAATTAAAGGAAGGAAACTTTTTTTTTTTTTTTTATAAGCACACTTAAGAGTCCTTTTTGGTAATTTTATATAGATGTAGTATGTACAGGCCTGCCTGAGTTTTTTCTAAACTGTTGTTAATACAATGAATATATGTAGTTCTGAATATGCTAGGGTCTTCTGTTACACAAAAATCTCTTACTGTGTTGAAAGCAAAGAAACATTTCTTGTTTCTCACTTAGAGGAAGCGTAAAGACATCCATTCTGCTTTGTCAACAGTATGCTAGCTGTTAATCCTAGTGAGAATTAACAGACTGTGTGCATGGGATACAGTGTACCAGTGTTAGACTGGACTCAGAACAAGCAAAGCTGCTGCTGCACTCAGCATATCCACGGGCTACGCAGGGTTCTCTCTAGAAGTGGCACACCAGAAGCAGTACGACAGCTCCAGCTCTCCATCTAGACAGAGCTGAAGCTGTTACCGTCTCTACCTGCAGCATGCATGTAGCTACCTAGTTCTCTTTGAAGACCCAGGGCATGCAATGCAGAAAAACACAAACTGCCCAGATAGCTCTTCCGACTTGTACCCCCCTCCTATAAACTCAGGAGTTGCAAAGCAGATGTAGCAAATCACCAGACGATGAGCAGCATATAGTTAGCAGCCCAGCAAGTCTTTACTGCAGTTTTTACTTGTTGCTACACAAAATACACAGTCATTGTGTATTGGGGAAGGATAAAGATTGGAAACAAAGAATTAGACTGCCATTATGTACCTCAGATCTACGCAAGACTGTGAGCTAAATTATCTAGCTGTAGTGAATCACGTCAAAGGAAAGTTAGTCATTCAGAGGGCTAACTCAAACACCAAAGCTTACACAAGACTTACGCCGTATTTGGAAATCTTCCTGTGGTACTTCCGTGGATCTTGTACTGGATATCATAACAGTAATGGATCGCCTCATGCAGCCAAGAATAGAAACATCATTTACTAGATGGTGCTCAGAGAAAGCTACAGATTAGCTAAGTAGAACACATTGGGAGGGTGAAGAAATACATCAGGAAATACCAATATCTAGTAAATAAATAAATAGAATTATGTAAAAAAAAAATAAAAACAGAACCAGAATGAAACTAATTTTAAAATTAGTATCTTCAACATCATCCATACAAAAAGACTAAAGAATATTAACAAAAACCTGATAGTTGGTTTAGTAACAGCTTCTAGTAATTCATTTTGCAACCTTTTCACCTAATAGTGAACTGTTCCTGTTGTGCTTAAATGGCTATCTGTATTCACAGGCCCCATCATAAGACTGTAACTTCAAAGCATAAAACTGTAAATTTCAGCCCAACTACCTACCACGGTCCTCACCAATTACAGCTGCCTCTCTAATCAGTTTTTACTGATCCCACTCTGAAACCTGTGATATTTGGCCGGGAGCATAGTGCCTCTGTCTCTGCTGCAAACCAGATGCTTTTGTGGCTGAGCATGCTGCCACTTGAAAAATAACTTGAGAGAAAACACTTCCTCCAGGGATGAATTATGCTTATTCTGTATTACTATCTCATAAATAAAATCCTACCAATTCTTCTAAGGTATCTGGAAGAACAGAGATACACCTAGCTAAAAATGCATTTTGTTCTCTGTTTCTCCATTAAATGGTTGTGCTAATTAGGGAGATGCTCTTGAAATAGCTGCTCATAGAATTCATGTTTTACAAGCTGGATTTACTTGGCTGAAGTTTCAATGAAAGGGCATTTTTATTATTATTATTTTAGCTCTTCCTTCTAAAGATGAGGTGTGAAACAACAAAGAACTGCCAATACACCAATAAGCAACTGATAGAAGTGGCTGGGTACATCAACCAGTTTGGTCAAAGAGAGCAACACTGCCAGAAGCAAACAGGCTTGATAAAGCCGTGAGGACTCATCCTAGAAAGAAAAATTAAGGTTTTAATAGCTATACTCTTATTAGTGATGAAAGAGAAGAAAGTATTTCAGAGGACTGTATCTCCTCCCCTGAATGCAGTACTATACTATACTAAATATTTTCAGTGCTAATGGTAAGAAACTATCCCCGCTATAATTAGGTTTTGATTGCCATCTCTTCATTTTTCACGAACTCAGACGCACGAAGCGGCTCGTAACCACAGGGAGGGCTGCTGGCAGACACGTCCCACGAGGCAGGTGGCTGTCGCGCAAACTGTGCGACCCCGCTACTCACAATTTACGCTTTCTTGCCGTAAGGTTTTCGCTACTCTCTCCTATTACTAAAGGAGATCCCCCTGTTATAAGTTGCCCCTTTAATTAATTTTCAGAGAGCATTGCATTAATAATAGAAAGGAATTTATTGAGTAAGCAACAGCAAGCAAAACAGCGCTGGGCGGCCGGGGAGTCTCGGCTCCACCAACGGCGCGCACCTCACCCCCGCCAGGGTCCCTTTTTATATCTTGGTAATTCCGGGATTACGCAGCACATCCTGGTATATTCTGCGACTGCGCGCGCTGTTGCTAGGGGGTCGTCTTTGTCCCTCTGGTGGTCGTGAAGATGAAGGCCGTAGTCTTCCTCGGCGTTGTGGTTCAACTTCTTTCTTTATTTGGTCATGTTGGCCCAGCGTGAGACAGGAAGGCAGGATGTTGATACACTAGTTTAACAACTTATCAGGAGATGGTTACATGAACTTTGCAGCAGTGTTTTTTGAACAAAAGAGGCTACTGAGATGCAGAAGGAGAGAAGGGGAGAGGGTTCTCTTTTTTGTTACATTAAGCAAAGGAATTTTCATAGTGTCTAGCTAAGCATTATACAGCTCCTTACTTCAGCAGGGAGTTTTCACAACTCCCATTGCTCAAACAGAACTCCTTGTTTTTACAAAAGACAATGAACAAACATTTATTGTGTATTACACCCCGACCCCCTCACCTCACGCTGTGGCACACTAATGAATGTGGGTTCATCAGCCGCCCCGCAATCAGCCCTCCCCCCCCCGCACGCCGCTGCCGCAGCAGCCGTTGAGCGCAGTCCCCACGGCGCTCTCAGAAAATGGAGGCGGCCGCGGGCGGGCTGCGCATGCGGAGAGCCGCCCCGCGCCGGGCGGGCGGGCAGCGAGCGGGGCCGGGGCCGGGGCCGGGGCCGGGGCCGGGGCCGGGGAAGCGCCGCCGGCTGCCTGTCCCTGGGCCACCCCCGCCGTGCCTCGGCATGAGGAAGATTTTCGGCTTCGGGAGGAAGAGGAAGGGGCAGCCGCCGCCTCCCGGTGGCGGCGACGCCGCCGCCTCGCCCTGTCCCGGCGGTGCCTACGAGCTCCGCCAGAAGGAGCTGGGCAAGCTGCACCGCGCGGCCGCCAGCGGCGACCTGGCCCAGGTGCGGCAGGGGCTGAGGAAACACGGCATCGACGAGCGGGACAAGGCGCAGCGGTAAGGGTGGGGCGGGGCTGGGGCCGGGAGGGCTCCCTGTAACCCGCAGGACCCCCCCTCGCTCCCCAAAAACACGCCCCTGGGGCGTTGTCGGAGGGCGACGAGAGGGCTGCAGCTTGCCCCAAGGTTTTCTTGTTTGCGAAGCCAGCGGTGGCTTCTTTAGGATCACCGCGTTGCCTGGTGCTTGGTGCTAGCAGCTTGGAGGTGATCACAGGCTCCTTCAGCCTTGTGGTTATCGGTTGCCCACCTGAGGTCTGCACACTCAGCTGCTGTCGTGCTGTGCTGGGCGGCTTTCAGGTGATCACGGTCAGACCTTCAGAGCTGAAAGGCCCTGCACGCTCCTATGGGAGTTGCTCCAAAAAGTGGAAATAGTCGCTCTCAAGTGACTGCTGCTGTTCCCTGTCTGTAGCAAGACGTGAAGTGAAGTTTTGTGCGATTTACTTGTCTTCATCCTTTTTGCCTTGGCAGAAGCTTTTTTTTTTTTTTTTTTTTTTTTTAATAGGAGGCTTGCTAGCTGCCCTGTGATGGGAAGAGAAGTATCTGCATTAAAAGTTGCTGTTTCTGCATCACATCACGGTGCTTGTGCACCTCTCCTTTTCTGTTCCCACCTAGCCCAAGAGCAGTTGTGCTCCTGTCTCTCAACAAAATACCCCAACAGTTGTTTTTTTCAGAGGTTACTTGAGGCTTCCTAAATGCAGAGAAAGATCTTACCCACAGCGATGGAGTTCAAACAACAGTGGACTCTTTCTCTCTCAGTTCTTCAGGAATTGCAGGATTTTTGTTGCACGACCTTCTTCTGTGGTATTCCATTTGTATGAGTTATAAATGTCAGGATGGTGACATACTACTTTCCTGTAGTCAGCATTACGGTGTTGTGTCTGTTTTGCTAGAGATTACCAAAGGTGCTTTGATGCCTATGTGAGTTTCATGTTTGCAGTAGTAACCAAGTTAGCAAAAAGAAAAAGCAGGTGTTTTCAAAAAGCAAAGCAAATCATCAATATTCTTGCTGTAAAACCCATCTCCTAGATCTCTGATATGCTTCTGGCGTGTGAATGACCCTGTGAGGATTTAGAGATTTACTTGCGTTAGACCTCAGATTCCCAGGCCTTGGTCTTCCGTGCTGTGTCATGGGTGCAGTTGTGCTGGAGGCAGTGACCAGAGTCTGGACACAGGAATCTGTTTGTGCAGATTCAGTTATACAGCGGAGAAAATGTCATCTTACTAAGCAAATGCTGTGGAGGGGTTTTCCTAGCCAGCTTAAGGCTTTGGATGTGCAACTGCTGTTACTGTCAATGGAATGAGCTTGGGTATTTGTTCTGTTTCAATATTTTGAGACATGAAATCTGCCCTATCTGTGTACCACAGACTGAAATCATTTCTTCATCTGTCAGTGTGAATTTAATATATCTATTTTTTTAGGACACCACTGCATCTTGCTTGCGCAAATGGACATGTGGATGTCGTTACATACCTAGTAGAAAACAAGTGTAAGCTCAATCTTTTTGACAATGATAACAGATCGCCACTGATGAAGGTATGTGGAATGTGTTATCCTACTCAAAGTGGGGCTTATTGATTACATGTTAAATGATGGCTATCTTGCTGAATTCTTTACATAAATCTGTGTAGAAACAGGTGTATTATAGCTAGTCTTGGAAGAGGCTTCCCAGCATTGGGAATTTGCGGTATTCATTGGTAGAGTGAAACGTGACTGTTGCAATTTTTTTTCCTTGTATTGTTTCCAGGCAGTACAATGCCAGAAAGAAAAATGTGTGGCTATCTTGCTGGAGCACGGTGCTGATCCAAACTTGGCAGATGCTAGTGGCAACACTGCCCTTCACTTGGCTGCTGCAGCTCCGAATGCATCTCTAGCAGAGATGTTACTTGAGCATAATGCCCATATCGATGCTCAAAATAAGGTAAATTTTGAGATTTGTTAGGGAAGTTCTTCCAAAAAGTTGCATTAATATTTCTGTTGAAGAGTTTTTTGGTTTAGATTTTTAACTTGAATGATTTTTCTGCCCTTTCAGGAGGGATATACCCCCCTTATTCTTGCTGTCTTGGAACATCATGAAGAGATGGTAGAATTTCTCCTTAAAAAAGGAGCTGATGTGCATGCTCGAGATCAGTGTGAAAGGTGAGATGTTGGTGGATTGCCTTAGTCATCTTCAGGTTGGACTGATGAGAGGCACAGGAAAATGAACACTGACATAGAAAGAGCCACACAGGAGTTTCCTGTGTGACTGCTGGAAGCAGGTCTACAGAAGGCCACCGACATGCATCATTGCATGTTTTCTGCATTGAAGATTGCAGGAAAGCATTGTTTGTGGTGGCCACCATGGCAGGAGACTTGTTAGGAGCATTGCTGTTATGAAGGAAATGCTTTTTCAAATTGAGGAATAGTTCATATGTCAATGTAGGAGCTTTGTCTGAGGATCAAGCAATTTTTTTATTCCCTCTCACATTTTATTGTAGCTAAAATACATTTTCTCTTGTTCATTTTAAACTAACGGGGATTTTTTTTTTGAAAGTAATCAAATAAGGATTAAAATAATTGCAATGTCTGTGTAAAATGATTTATTTCTTATTATATTTTGGATGTTTCAGAACCCCGCTTATGACTGCTGCATCTGGTGGGGAGCTTAACTTGATAAAAGTTCTTCTTCGCTATGGTGCTGATCTTTCCCATAAAGACACTAAAGGATGGACAGCTGAGGATTATGCTATTATTCATGGATATTCTAGGTAAACTTTTAACTTTATTATTAGAATTGTTAAGTTGTCAGTTATCGATGTTGGCTTTGGACTTTTCTGCTAGCAGTACTAAGGTTTAATGGTATCTTGGGACAACTCTGTCACTGAGCACAGCTTCAATTTTCTAGAATGTATTGCTCCCCTGTCTACTGCTAATTTGGAAGTTGAAGAACACTTCCACACCAAATTATGTTAAATTTCTAGTTTGTGTCGCTAAGCTCATACCTGGCCATTATAAACTCTTAAGTTTCTGTAACCTGCAGTTGTCTAGATATGGAGCTTGACAAACGGGGATCTGTAAACCCTATTGTAAAAAAGGGTTTGTAAACCTTTTCCCAGACCAGCACTACTGTTACTATATTGTTAACGTATTTCAATCCTCTTACCAGGAACCACCCACCTTTTGTTTCAGAGGAGATCCAGTGATCTCCACTTCTGTTAATTAACTAAACAATCTTGCTGCTGTTATGTTTAAGTGTTACAACCATGGGTGTTCATTCTTAATGGCAGTTATGTGTGCTTAAACTATGCTGAAAAAGTGTACCAAGCTGGAGTGAATTTCATTGATACAAATACACATCTGTATAATGAACATGACTGTAGTATTTGGGTATGTAATAAGCAATGCAGTAAGTAGAGCGTGCATTAACCTTAGTGAATATATCATAGAGTCATAGAATATCCCGAGTTGGCAGGGACCCATAAGGATCATCAAGTCCAACTCCTGGCACCGTACAGGTCTACCCAAAAGTTTAGACCAACTTCAGCTTAACACCATTCCTGCGGGTCCTATCACTGGTGTTTGCGGAGAATAGGTCACCTGCCTCTCCACTCCCCCTCGCGAGGAAGTTGTAGACCGCAATGAGGTCCCCCCTCAGCCTCCTCTTCTCCAGGCTGAACAGGCCCAGTGCCCTCAGCCGCTCCTCATACGTCTTCCCCTCTAGGCCCTTCACCATCTTTGTTGCCCTCCTCTGGACACTCTCCAACAGTTTTGTTGCTGACGGAAGGAAGACACAGACGCTCAATATGAGTGAACAGTGAACTTCAACTTTAATGGATAGCTCAGTCGCCTTTTATCTAGTTCGAACATAATCAACTCATATATATTGCAGAAACTAAGCTCAGGATTGGTTAACACTTCCCGGGCTTTTCAGTCTGGTCTTCCTTCTTTTAGCTACCTGTCCTGCCTTAGGGACTTTCCCCCCCCCGATCGCCCAAGGGCATCGTGTCCTTGAGCCTGATTGGCTCTCAGCCAGCTGCGTACGTGCCAAGGGTCATGTGAGTTGAGTGCAGTGCTTCACCAGCCCATTGTCTCCCAACTGCTCAACATTCACATGTCCTACCTCACTTAACGATTCCTCCACACAGTTTAATGTCCTTCTTGTACTGTGGTGCCCAGAACTGCACACAGAACTCCAGGAGAGGCTGGACCAGCGCAGAGTAGAGCGGGACAATCACCTCTCTCAATTGACTAGCAATGCTGTGCTTGATGCACCCCAGGATACGGTTGGCCCTCCTGGCTGCCAGGGCACACTGCTGGCTCATATTCAACTTGCTGTCAACTACAGCCCCCAGATCCCTCTCTGCAGGGCTGCTCTCCAGTGTCTCATCGCACAGTTTGTACGTATAGCCAGGGTTGCCCCGTCCCAGGTGCAGGACCCAGCACTTGCCTTTGTTAAACTTCATGTGGCTGGTGATTGCCCAGCTCTCCAATCTGTCCAGATCTCTCTGCATCGCCTTTCCACCCTCAACGGAGTCCACAACTCCTCCAAGTTTGGTGTCGTCAGCAAATTTGCTCAAAACATCCAAGAGGGAATAGAATGTATTCTATTGTATTAGAATAGAATGTATTCTATATTCTATTCTATAGAATAGAATGTATTCTATATGCATTCTAGAAAAAGAGGATGTAGGACTAGAAGGTCCTACATCCAAATCATTTATAAAGACATTGAAGAGGACTGGCCCTAAAATGGAGCCTTGAGGGACCCCACTAGTGACTATCTGCCAGCCAGATGTGGCCCCATTAACCACAACCCTTTGAGCTCTGCCTGTCAACCGACTGCTCACCCATCGTATGATGTTTTTGTTAAGTTGTATGCTGGACATTTTGTCCAGTAGGATCCTATGGGAAACCATGTCAAAAGCCTTACTGAAGTCCAAAAAGATCATATTGGCTGGTTTCCCTTGGTTGACTAGATGGGTGATCTTATCATAAAAGGAAATCAAATTTGTAAGGCAGGACCTACCCTTCATGAACCCATGTTGGCTGGGACCAATGACTGCATTGTCCCCCAAGTGTGCTTCAATAACTTCAAGAATTGTCTTCACAATTTTACCAGCCACTGATATGAGACTGACAGGCCTGTAATTGCTAGGGTCTTCTTTCTTACCCTTCTTGAAAATCGGGACAACATTTGCCAGCTTCCAGTCTACTGGGACCTCTCCAGATTCCCAAGATCATTGAAAAATAATTGAGAGAGGTCCTGCGATGACATCAGCCAGCTCTTTAAGCACCCTGGGATGAATCCTATCCAGGCCCATGGACTTGTACGGATCCAGGTGGAGCAGTAAATCCCGCACATGTTCAGGGTCGGTTGGGAGTTTGTCATTCCCACTGTCACAGTCCTCCCGCTCAGGCCACCCGGGGTCCCGAAGCCCATCATCAGTGTTGAAGACAGAGGCGAAGAAGACATTAAACGTTTCTGCTATGCCTATGTCATTGTCTGTGAGGAGACCTTCCCCATCAAGTAGCAGACCTATGTTTTCTTTGTTTCTCCTTTTTCTGTTCACATATCTACAAAAAAACCTTTTTATTGTCTCCCACAAACATGGCCAGCTTCAACTCTAGTTGGGCTTTGACCCCACGAATTTTCTCCCTACAAACACGAACAGCATCTCTGTATTCCTTCCTTGTTGCCTGACCCTCCTTCCAGCAGCCGCACACTTTATTTTTTCACCTAAGCTCCAGTAGAAGATCCCTGGTCAACCAGGCTGGCCTTCTGCCCCACCTGTCTGACTTCCGATATTTTGGAATCACCTGATCTTGTGCTTTTAGGAGGCAGTGCTTAAAGATTAACCAGCACTGATGGACACCAGTGCCTTCAAAAGTGGTTTCCCAGGGGACCTTGCTGACTAGTTCCCTAGGCAGCCTGAAGTCTGCTTTCCATATATCTAAGGCTGAAGTTTTGGTGGAAGTTTTCCTTCTGTCACCATAAATTCTAAACTCAACCACTTCATGGTCACTATGACCAAGATGGCTGCCAATTGCCACGTCTCCCACAAGACCCTCTCTGTTCTCCAGCAACAGATCTAGGAGGGCACCTTTCCTAGTTGGCTCCCTTAGCACCTGCACCAAGAAGTTATCCTCTAAGTGCTTTATGAACCTCCTGGACTTGCTTGTGTCAGCGGTGTGGTAATCCCATTTGATGTCTGGCAAGTTGATAATCCCCCATAAGGACAAGGGGAGTTGATTTCAAGGCATCTCTTAGTCCTGCATTGATGTTGTTGTCCTGGCTGGGTGGTCTGTAATAGACTCCCACTATGCCATCCCCTTTATTTGTTTGTCCCTTAATCCTTACCCAGAAGCTCTCAACTTTGCCATCGCCAACTTGAAGTTCCACGCAGTCCAGCCCATGCTCCACATACATCGCCACCTCGCCTACCCTGCCTGTCCCTCCTGAAGGGCCTGTAACCATCTATTGCAGCACTCCAGCCACAGGACTCATCCCACCAGGTTTCGCTTCTGCCGATCATGTTGTAGCTGTGGGACTGGACCAAGACTTCTAGCTCGTCCATTTTATTCCTCATACTCCGTGCGTTTGTGTAGAAGCACTTCAAATGTGCCTCCCTACACACAGCACCTTGCACAGGACCTCACTGGCACACAGTCCCTCTGATTCTAGCGCACCATCCCGTAGCTCATCTGTTTTTGACAGACGACATAGCAATGCCGGGGGTATGTTGCCTTGCTTTAGGCACCCTCTCCAACTGGGACGGGCTTTCGTCTGTGTTGTTCTGATGGTCGTGTTCTAGAGCCTCGTACCTATTACATAAGGGTAGATGGGAAGGTGGGCAGGGACAGGGCTCGCCTACCACACCGAACAGGAACCTGCCTCCATTCCCCCCTTTGGCCTAGGTCTCCTCCTGCAGCCTGGCAGGATGAGGGAACTTTTGTCTTCTGTGTAGCAGGAGACACTTGTGCTGTGGCAGGCTTGTGAGTCTGTCTCAGAGAGGGTAGAGTACACCTCCACCAGTCGATTTCCCTCTCTGACTCCCTGATGCTCCTGAGCCTGCTCACCTCTTCCCGAAGCTCTGCTACCTGGCTGAGCAGCTCTTCAACCTGGGCACACCTCCCGCAGGCATACCCCTCGCTGCTGCTGTCAGACACAGACAGGAGACTCAGGCACACCCTGCAGCCCAAGACCTGGAGGGCAGTGTGTTTCCCCGAGCCCTCTGTCTGAGTAGCCACATCAGAGACTGTGGCTGGAGAGGCCGCAAGAGATGTGGAGGCCATGGTTTTCTGCCTGGTTGATACCATGGCCAGGCTCTTTGCAAGCAGGTTACGAGTACCAATGGGAAAGACTGCTGCGAAAGAGCGGTGAAGGCGCCCCCCTACTCTCCCTGCCTGCGCGAACTGCTGCGCCTCGCCCTGTTTGCCCATCCTGGTTGCTCGTTCCCCTACGAGGGGTGCCGGGTCCTGGTGGTTCCCTTGGCTGCTTTGAGTGAAAATATGAATTAATTCATATTTTCATATGAAACGTTCATATGAAAATATTCATATTTTCATGGCTTTGGATATATCTAGGTTGGATAGCAAGTGGCTGATACTATTCCATTAAGTGGTGTATGCAGGTATGTGGTTATTCTTACCAAATGCATTTCCTCTCTTTCTGCATATAGTCTTAGCAAACAACTGGCAGAATACACAGACTGGGAGAACACAGGAGAAGCTTCTGCAGGCGGTAAACAAAGCATCCCGGTACTTACGACTCCTCACAGAGCAGGAGCTGCTGGCTTTACGTTGGGTGCACCTGCTGTGGACAGAGGAGGTAGGATATTTAACTGTGGCAGACCTAATGAGAAAAAATAAGTGGCCTTCACTTTAGGTGTTTTATATTGTTCAAGCTTCTTGTGCTCAGTGTTGACTTTAGTGGAGGCATCAGATGGTGTATCACAAAAAGTTCTGTGAATGTGCTTCTTTCTTGCTAGTTTGAAGTGCATCTTACCAGCCCTGAGGACAATTGTGATTTGTGTATTTAACATCAATTCATATGGTTGTCACCTTCAGCCCATCAGATCGCCCATTTATACAGGTTTTCCTTGCGGTGGGATGTGTGGGAAGAAAGGAGGACAAGTAAGGAACTTGGCTTTGTTTTTCAGGTGGACTCTTAGAGATGCTCTTTCAGATTGTGCTGTAGGTTCATCCTGGGCAGTTGGTTCACGTTTCTGTAGTAGGGAAACAGCAGCTGAGTTAGAAAGATGAATGGCTTGTTGATTTCCACTGAATTTGTATGTCTGTTTGATTTAATAGTTTCACTTGTACTAAGCTCATTTTAGTGAGTCACATTATTTCTCATCTTCAGTTAGAATTGCTTTTGTTTAGGTGCTGTGGAGACACTTAGGAAAAATTGTCCTGGAAGAGTAACTTCATTATCAACAATTCAGCGTCTGTGTATACTGTATCTTCTTGGACATAGTCTGATTTATAATAAAGAGGCCTTTCTTCCACTTTGATTAGTTTTATACCAAAAAAAAAGTTAAAAGTTCATATAACTTTGTAATCCAGAAAAACAATTAAATTGCCTTGTGATTAAAAGAAAGAAACTCTTTCAGTGAGTTTGTAAAATCCAGTCAATGCTTATGAGCTCAGATAGCGCTAAAGGAATCTTAAAAAAATAATAATATTTTAATACAGATAAAATTGTTTGCTTTATACTTTGTTTCTCGCCCATCAGTAGGAGGGTTTATTCATTCTATATTTTTAAGGGCTTTATGTTAGAATGATGTGTCCAAGGGGAAGCAGACAGTGTTCAAATGCAATTGCTCTTTTTTATTTTGACAATGTGTCAAAAAATATGAGCAAAAAGTGTGGCTTCTTTTTTTCTTCTAGACTTTTCACAGGAAGGAGAACTGAATTTGGGGCCGAGCTTTGCCTTTGACTTAGGAACAGTTCCTTTGATCTAGTCAGAGATTTGAAGTTTCTTCACAGGCTGTTTTTTTTTTTTGTTTGTTTGTTTGTTTTTTAAAAAAAAATGTTTTTTCAGCAGGGCTTGATACAGGTAGTTATATCACTAAAATACTGTTTTCACCCCCAAAACTCTTTTACTACTTTCCACATTGTTGTGGAAACAATGTTTCCACACGTAGTTGCCACACAGTCTGACAGGCCTGTATTATTATAAAATATGTGGCTTAAAGAGGACTAGTATTGTGTAATTCCAAAACTGGCATATGTGCAGGGAAATACAGGTTCTTTGATCAAATACAGGTTCTTTGATCAAATTTCTGGGATTTTCAATGGTAACCTTTATTCTTTTTGCTGCTTTTGCACTTCCTAATTGGAAGAGGAAATTGTGTAGAATGTTGAACAAGTCTGCATTTTTAAGCTTACTTGCTTATCGGAATGTCAGAACATGAACGTTTTTATTAATCACAGACAGGTTTGCAAAAACCTCCAAATGAATGACTTCCAGCAATAGTGTATCAAGTGATGGAGTTTTTAGATTTTAAGTTGGAATTTCTTTGGGGGAAACAATAATTACACAATCCATATTTCTAGTATGTCTGCGATGACAGCTTTTTTAACTACTGCAGCATGTACTACTCTTTTGTTCCTTCAGTGTTTCCCTGAGTAGTTAAATTGTTTCTGCAGGGTAAAGTTCTTGAAAAATAAATGAGCACACCAGTGTGTTTTACATCTCCTGAGGTCAGGAAAAGTATCTTCTGTATCTCCTCTTAAGGAAACAGAGAAAGGCAGAAGGGATGAGAAAACATCTTGAAATCGTTTCTTAACTGTTGTATGATTTTGATAGTAGTCATTTTGTCACATCATTGTATGCATTTGTGATAAAATCAATATAAGTAGGACGCCCTTCTGCTCCAAAACAATACCTATAGCTTTGTCATGAAAGAATTTGGCTTAAGGTAGCTGCAATAACAGAACCGCATTGTTCAGTTACCTAAAATTTAAAATTTATTTGTAGGTGGGTTGGATAGAGCAAATGGACAGTGATTTTGTATTCCAAAACTTCTGTTTTGCAGTACAGACAAACATACGCTCATAGTCACAGTGCATTCTCCCACTGCTATAGCTATGTCTATGTGCTTCTCATGTTTCTGAGATTTCAAATTTATTCTGATGTAATTGTTTCGTCTGTCCTTTCCATGCCTTTTCCTAAATGGATATAGGAATGCAACAGTCTCCTAACCAGGCACCAAGAACAGGAGAATCAAGGAAAGGTATTCTGTAGCGTTTTAAGTATGGAACATGTTGTATAATTCACAAACACCTATACATCATACATACTTACCGTCTTGGAGATCCATGCCAAGAGTTGGCTTGGGGTGTTTTCGTTTGCATGTTTTTTGTGCGAGTCTTTTATTACTGAATTCAATGTTTGCTTTTGTCACCAGTGATAGTATATCTTTTTATTTATTTACATTTGTTCTCATGGTGCTTTGAAATGGGCTTCAATGGTGAAAACAAGCAGTCCCCAGGGACTGGTTTTCTAGATCCTATTTCTGTGTCAGGGCATCAGAGCCTTGGTTTAGGTCTGACTGAAAGCTATGTCATGAACTCCTTGCCTTCTAAAGGATTGTGTGACCTGGTTTTGATCATTGACTATATTTATTATACATCAGAAGCAAAAGTTCAGGTAATTTATTGAGCTGCTTTGATTAACTGTAACAGTACTAATGGAAAACACAAGTCACCTGTTCAAAGCTTATAACTGTTCCACCCTAACTATTTCTATGAGGCACATTTCTTTTCAGCTGTATTGCATTGACAGTAAGTTCTGTTCGTATCAGGAGACATGCTCTTCAGAGTTCTCACCTAAACTCTGTCGTTAGGAAAGACAGAACTTGTACATTCATTTATGAGCTACTGGTAGTAGAGATGTCTTCAGGTGTGATGTTTCTTGGTTGTTGGGTTTGTTTTCCCTTTAATAATTTTGTCCAAGGCTTTACTTGCCATCATATGATTTTATGGAAGGTCCCAGTGTCCTGTTTATTAAAAAACAACAACAACAAAAAACTTATGATAGTTAGCAATTGGTTAAAGAACTTCATGAACGCTGACATAGCTTCTGTGTGGAGATTAGGAGATTATATGTGCTTGTTTTTTCCCTTTTGTGTTGGGAATCAGAATCTTTTTATTTTGTCTTAGTTGTTAATAGTTGAGAGGTTGTAGCACTTCTCAAACTGTCTCCCTAGAGTGCAGATTTATTGGTACCTCAGTGACCTGAAGCATGTGCTATAGTACGCTCTCATCAAGTCTGCAAATGATGTGAAATCTGAGGGATGTGCTGCCATTTGGAGGGACCTTGACGAGCTGGGGAAGTGGACTGACAGGCAGGCACCTTAAGAAATTCAGCAAAGGCAAATGCCAAGTTGTGCCCCTGGGAAGGAATAGCTCCTTGCTACAAAACATGATGGGACTGCCTGGCAGAGGAGCAGCTTTGCTGGGAGGGCCCAGAGAGTCTTGGCAGTGAGCAAGCTGAGCATGAGCCTTGCCCTCAGGGTGCCCTGGCTGCTGAGGTCAACAGCATCTTGGTCTGTGTTAAGAGCAGCCCAGCCAGGAGACTAGGGAAAGTGATTCTCTGGCCCTACTTGGTACTTGTTAGACTATCTTGATCCTGGGTTATAACTTTGAGCCCCCAGTGCAGAAGAGGTTGATCGTTCAGCGGGGAGCCATCAGATTCGTCAGGGGCAGGAATACATGCCCTGTGAGGAGGGGCTGAGAAAACAGGGCTTGGTCAGCCTGAAGAAGAGGCAGCTTCATAGGGGACCTAACAGCAGCTTCCGATATGTATGAGAAGACAAAGCCAGGAGCTTCCTTGTGGTACATGACAAGAGGTGTAAGTGGAAACAGGAAAGTTTCTAACTATGTTAGAAGCGTTGCCATGATGAGGACAGTTAAAATAGGGAGGTTGTTCGGCTTTCCTCCTTTGCCTGACCTCATATCTGGACTGGCTTTGAGGAAGCAGTTGGCTAAGAGACTTCCTGAGATCCCTTTTGACCTGACTTATCCTATGATCCTAAGTGAGAATTGCCTTCATTTCACCAAAGAAAGTTTGAAGTATAGTACAATATGTCCTGGTAATGCTGCTTTTGTCTATTGTATACTCTTTTTTTTGGTGTGTTATAGAGACCTGCTGGTGATCCAGAGATAAGCTTTAGAGATAAGTTTTTAGAGATAAGCTTTAGTTCTTGACTATGCTTTTTCATTTTTCTTTAAATTTTCAAAATAATCCATAGTTGGGTAAAGTAGAAAATAAAGTGTATTGTATGACAGTGTAAAGCACTTAATGTTTACTCTGCTTGTGGTGCGTGAATGTGTGTGTAGTATGAGTACTTTGAAGGTTCATCTACTTACTGTCTTCATAAACCACCACCATTTGTTAACTGTTCACAAGCTTAGCATAGTCACGCTATGCTGTTCTTTAGTTTAGAGATATTTCTTAAATTTAAGAGCCCAAAGAAGGTATCACCGATCTTCTTTATTATTATTATTATTATTTTTAATTCCATATTATTTGAAAAAGCAGGTGCTTTGGAAATGCTTTCATTCATGCTGCCTTGTATTAAATTGGCCCCAGTTTCATTCTGTTACAATTTGTAGTGTTGTCATGTGAAATGTTTGTTTGTATTGATTAATTTTTAGCATGCCAAATCTAATATCAACATGTTAATTAATATTTGAACAGCAATAGATGACTTTTCCCAAGGAGACTCAATAAGGTGAGACTTCTAAAAATACCTAATGCTTACTTGAAGAATGATATGAAGGAGCCGCTATTCATTTTGCTTTGCTTTTTAAGAAGCTCTGAGAAAGAGGGGAATGATGACAGTTGGCATACTTCTGAGGAAGAAGAACTTGATTTTACCCCAAAGGTATGGTGCCTTTACAGGAAAATTGTCCTGTAGAATAAGTGATTTGAAAGCAAAGAAACTTTTTCCAGCCAATATTGTTTTCTCTTTAATAGCAGTCTCTGGTCTGACAGCATTTTTTTTTTTTTTTCTGCTGTGAGGTATGTTTTTTGTAAGAGAATTGTAGCTGTGGCAGAGAATGCTGTAAAATTGTGGTTTGGGGCAAAACAGCAGTAGGTGAAAAGATAAGCAGCGACATTATTTTAGTTGTTCTGGTTCATTTGAGTCAGATTTGCAGACCCTGAAAGTTTATAAGTTACTATATAACCTATTCTTCTCCAAATGTCGCTATCGTTTCCCCTAATTTATGTGATAGAATTCTAACTGATAATGAAAAAGAGCAGAGAGGTGGGGGTTGGCCTGTTCTCCCACGTGCCTGGTGACAGGACGAGGGGGAACGGGCTAAAGTTGCGCCAGGGGAGTTTTAGGTTAGATGTTAGGAAGAGCTTCTTTACTGAAAGGGTTGTGAGGCATTGGAACAGGCTGCCCAGGGAGGTGGTGGAGTCACCATCCCTGGAAGTCTTCAAAAGACGTTTAGATGTAGAGCTTAGGGATATGGTTTAGTGGGGACTGTTAGTGTTAGGTCAGAGGTTGGACTCGATGATCTTGAGGTCTCTTCCAACCTAGAAATTCTGTGATTCTGTGTGTGATTTATTAACTGAAAATGTCTACTGAAACTGTTCAGCACCTGGTTCTCCATTCCTTCTCCTCAGGTTCCTCCAGTGCTCAATGAATGACTTGCTCAAATTAGTCTTTTTTTCCCCCTTTCTTTCTTTTTTTCCCTTCTTATTTTGAATGACATTGTATAGTTCTCACACTGCATGTTTTTATTTTTTTGAATGCTCGGGTGGTACTCTCTTATCAGCCACATGTGTTATCTCCTACTGTTTTTGCTAGTATTATGAAGGATTATCAGTTTCTCCAGTGATATCTGGAGCATCTGGTCTTTTGCGGTGGCATTCTGCAGTAATGAGGAAGAGGTGTACGGTGGTGGTGAACTGGTGGGGTTCAACACACTCTGTGATGATGGAGATTCAAGTGTGTGTAGTTTAAACATTATTTCATTTTCTTACATTGATTTAAATGGAAGTGATGCATTTTTCAAATAATGATTTTGAAATTTAGGGATCTTTTGGTAGGTGAACTTGCAGTGACTAATTTGTGTAAGTCTAAGGAACTTTAAGAGTTACTCGAGTTATACACACTTAAAAGTAAGCATCCTACATAATACAAACATTAATTCAAAAACAGATTTTTAGACTTGTTATGCATGTAAATACAGTTTCAGAAAGAATTTGCTGAAGGGTACCTGTGGAGGTTTTTTTGAGGTAAAATACTCACTGACTTGCATATGTGTGAGTGTTTGTGTAATTAGACCTATAGGATGCAGCAAGCACCTGAGAACTGTCAAAAGGACAGCCCAGTTGCATTTACTGTTCAAGATTTGATTTAAGTAAATGATTTGTTTTTAAAAACAAGAAAGCAAAAAATAGATCAAATAATTCTCTTCAAATATATTTTTATTTACAGAAGCCACAGAAGCCAAACTTGACGCTGTTAATGAATGCTTCCCAGCAGTTCAAGAAAAACAGTAAGCTATTTAGAAAAGACTGCATGATATAATGTGATACAAAAGTAAACTAGCTGAGTAATTTTTTCCCCCTTAGACTATAGAAAGTGAGAAAAGTAGTAGTATGAGAACAGAGCACATAGTCATTTTAGGGCAAAATAAGTGAGATCATGAAAATGAAAATATTGAGTCCCTTCCTAAGCCTTTGTCCCTGATAAAGTCCTTCCTCCCATCCTGCTTATCCACAGAAATATTAGGTGGTTTTACCTTGCTAGGCAGCTGAACTCCACCACAACCGCTCTCTCACTCCCCCTCCTTAGAAGAGGAGCAGAAGAAGAAAAGGAAAGAAACAACTCACGGGTTGAGATAAGAATAGGATAATTTAATTAAAGGAAAAAATAATTATTAAGAAAAAATTATTAATTAAACAATTTAGCTAAAGGGAAAAAACTGAAAGGGAAAGAAGGGGCACGGGGGAAAAACAACAAGCAAAGGGTTTGTGGAAGTGCACAGGAAATAAATTACTCTCTACTTCCCACAAATGAGCGATGCTTGATCACGTCCTTGAAGCAGGGCCTCAGCACATGTAGCCTATGGGCTGCTGCAGGGAAAGTTAACATCCCAACCAAACCCAGTACAATCCCTTACCTGGCTCCTTTTCTAGACATTCCCAGATGACTCCTCTTCTATGCTTTAAGCAGGTAATAGGCCTGTTGCTATTTTTGTAACTCATTTGGTTCATATGCCTTTCTCCTTTTCTCATGCTTTAAGATGATGGTGATGGTTCTAGAATTGAAAGTCCTAAGTCACAGAAGAAAAACCTCAAACATAGAACCCCATCGGATGCAAATCTGAACAAAGGCAAGTGTGGTGAACTGTTGAACCAAGATGTTTCAGATGCAAGCAACCTTGAAGAAGAGGAATTGGACGAGGAAGAAGAAGAGGAGGAAGAAGAGGAGGAAGAAGATGAAAATGATGATGGAGATGATGATGAAGAGTATGAAGAGGAAGAAGAGGGAGATCTTATTCAAGATGAAAAGGAGGAGGAAGATCTGGAAGATGAAGAAACTCAGTCTAACAGCATAATGGAGGAGGAGCAGGGGCGTGAAATAGAACCTAAAGGAAAAGTTAATCAGGAATTGGGGTGCTTTAGAAATGCTAAGTATGAAGGGGAAACTCAGTGTGGGACTGGAAATGTTTTTGGTGATGATCAGAAAATATGTAAAGAACTTGATGAAAAGATGGAGGGATCTGTTGATGCTCCTGTGTCTTTTATAGCTGGGTGTTATGAAAGGTTGCAAGAAAATATAACAGTGATATCTCCAAAGGTAATGAACAATGAATTATCTTACGAATCCACACCAAAACAAGCTGTCCTACAAAATGTAAATAATTTACAAACTAGACAAGAACCTTTGAACAAAAAAAGTGTGATTCAGGAGAAGTTACGCCAAAAGGGTAACTTCTCTTCTGTAGACTCAGAAACAACAGACTGGAAAAAAGAGATCCCCCAGTCTCTCTCCGACAGTTGTGGTCTTACGGAGAAAAAGTCAGCTTTTGGTGATGGCTTTAAAAGTATTAATGGTTCTCAGTCAGCAGCAGAAAACCCAAGACTTGAAAGTCAAAGACCAAAATCTGATATTTTTGAATATGTGGGTGAGGAAGATGCTGAAGAAGGGTATGAAGAAGTAGATAAGAAAGTCTGTGAAGCACTGAAACAAGAAAGTGAAAACATGCACTTAATTAGATGTGAAGAAAACACAAGGGCAGTGTTCTCAAGCACAAAGGTAAGTATACAGGGATGCTTGAATCACAAGGGTATTTTTAAGGGTAGTACAGGTAAGAAACAGTAAGCTGTATTCCTACGGATACTTATTGCATATATCTGTATTTCAGTGATCATCTTTTGATACTAAACAGTGTTACTTCTAGCCAAACTAATTTTTTAGGTATAAGAATAATGCCAGACATTATTTTCAATATTTGTTGTGTGATTACAATGATCTTGAAAGAGAAAGATAAGAAACTTCATTTGTCTGAAATTTGTGAAATTTCTCTGTTATATAACTGAGAACAGATGTTGTTTGTGAAGTGTTACTGCCATTTAGTAAAGTTCACAGCATGTTGACTGCAACTGAGAAAACAAAACAATGAAATTGAGAGGAAGCTAGTCATTTTCTGGGGAGCAAACCAGGGGAAAGAAGGAATGTGTTCCTGAATAATATGATTTAAATAAAGCTGGGGTTGGACTGACATGAGGAAGTGCTTTTCAGGGGCTTTCCAGAACTAGAGATGAAGTTTATGACACGAGGCATTGCTGTTTAATCGTGCACACTCCCACTAGAAACCTGAAGGCCCTTTGGAGACTTTTGATCTTTGCTTTACTTTTGTCTTACACAAGAAAAATATTTTCCAAGCTGTCAATGGATGTTGAAGAAGATGCTTGTTTCTGTTCTTTCCAGCTGTTTTGGTCTGTCTCTTTTAGGAAGAGTTACTTAAGTGGGAAGAAGAGGAGAAGGAAGATGCTTGTGGAGAGCTGCAAACTGCAGCTAGTGAGGGTGTGAAAAATTATGTTCATAGTAATACCCATCAAGACCATAACGCTTCAGAAGACACAGCTGGTGAGAAAAGTGAGTTAATTAAATATTGATCCCAGTTGTTCCTCTCTAAGTATTAACATGCCGTGAATGAACTGAAATGGTGATTTGGTGTTCGACTTTCAGAGGTGATAAATTCTTCTGTTGGCTCTGATTTCTAGTGGGCAGCGGCAGAGGAAGGCAGCAGCTTGTTATCCTTTTCATTCATTCTTACAGAGCACAAAACATGGTGTTGGATTCCAAATGAATTCTATAGGAAGCAAGTGCTCTTCTTGCTTTTGTTGCTGTATTCTCCCTGAAGTGGTCTGAATAAGACAAGTAGAGAGGAACTGGTGTGTCTTGGGTGTGACAGTAGTTATTTCCCTTTCTGGCCTGTACTACCATGTTGAAAAGCTGTGATTGCTCTTGGCTGAAGCCTGGGAAAGACTTTTGAGTCAAGCTGTGAGAAAATTGTTCTGCTACAGTGCTTCACCTTGTTCAGTTTTAAAAATGTAGGTCTCCCAGTGCCAATCCTTTGTGTGCTTGAGAGCATTACCAGCTCAGACAGAGTGTTCACCTCAGGGTTTTGGAGCAGGAGGAGACAGACTGGTTTTGGAGCAGGAGGAGACAGACTGGTTCCATTGTCTGTCTCCTGAGCATAACTTGATGCAGTAGATGTTTTCAGAGCATGTGTAACTGCTGATCAGGTTCTACACAGAGGACCTGGCAGAAGCTAATGCTCTGAAGGTGGTGTGCCTAAATGTGAAACTCTGGACCCGTAGGTAAGAGGGAAGACCCAAGCTCTGCATCCTGCAGTTCCTGAACATTTCCCAAAAATGTGCGAGGCATAGTTTGTAGCTTTGTCAGCTGTCATGCTTAAGCATCTTCTGCTTGAAAGGAAATACGAGGAGTAAAGAGAACACTGTGATGTGACTGTGTATGAAGATACCATTGAATATAACTCATTTCTTAATTTCTCCTCTGCAGAAGAACTGTTACTCATTCAGATGCAGGGTTTGACTGATGGGGAAAAGCGGAGTGCAATAAATGCTCACAGCATCTCTCTTTGTCCACTCTTTGTAGGTGCCTTGCCAGCTCTAGGAGCAGAGCAAGAGGAGGAAGCTGAATCTCCCTGGGATTCTGAGGTACTTTCTGTGAAAGATGTAGTGGTCCCAGTGGGGGGAAGGTCATATCCAGAGCTTGTGTTTGAATTTGTTGCTGCCATTGATGAGGCTTGTTTACTTCTTGTTGCTTCAGCTGTATGTTTGTAACTAGAGGTCCTTGAAATGCTTGTGCTCTAGGCTTTCTAGTTAGAATCAGGACAAAGGTAGATCAAGCTAATGATGTGGGCATTCTAGTAGCTGGCCATTGAGTTTGATGTCTAGTACAATATTGAGACAGTGAAGTTTTCTGCTACTTAAAATCTTGTGAGCTTCTCAAAAGGGCTGGTGGTGTGAAGATTGTATTTGTTTTGTTGTTGTTTGTTTTGTTTTGTTTTGTTTTGCCATACATCTCTATTCTGCTGCCCCAGTCAGTGTTAAATGGTTGCCCTTACTGTCTGCAACCTAGACACCTAGATTTTTCTGTATGGAACCATTATCTTTTTAGGTATGCTTCATCCTTTTTAGAAAGTCATTTTCAATAGATACCAAATGAGTTGGCTGTATGTGTCCCTTCTGTCTGTGGTAATTGGCTAGACAAAAGAGCAGGGTCTGTAGCTAAGCCCCTCTGGCTTTTCTTCTGAGGAAAAATGAATTCCTCCCCACCTCCTTCCTTAAAAAATACTAGACTAACGTTTTTAAGATAATGTTAATCTCTGTTAACTTTGCCTTGTTAGTCTTTATTCAACCCAAATTTTTGCTTCATTTTTGCAACATAGTGGTGAACTCACTCACCACTGCATGATACATGCTCCAGGAACATAAGCTCCAACTTGAATGTCAGGCACAAGTTTGGTACAAATGTTGGATCGCCACAGAGCTGCAGTTACTCATTTGCAATCCACATCTTGATTTCCAATGTTAATTCTCTTTTGTGGCCATTCTGTTTAAGGATTATAAGTGTTACAGGATAGTTTAGATGAGTTATAAGTGGGTTTGTTTAGCCAAAGATCTGAAAATACATACTACTGCTGTGACTTTTCCATTGTGTGCTATGCATTGATGTGTCCTTTACAAGACTTCAATTACAAGAACCTTTTGATACACTTGATATCATGTTGTGCACATTGGCTGAGTGGCAGCTTTTTTCATGGAAATAAGTGGGGGGAAAAAAGTTTGTACCAATTGTCTTGCCTGTGTTCTAGATTATACAGACAGATTCTGACAGTCTGAGAAAAGTGTCGCCTGGTGTGTTGCTCCCAGCTGCAGATGAACATGGAGCATGCTTGCAGAGTGTTTCAGTGGAGCGCAACAATGGTAACTTTCTGGTGGATTGTGTTTGTAAGCATTTATAGACTGAAGTGAACTACCAGTGTCTTCCTTAGGAGTGCTGTTATGCTGTGGCTACGTGCCATAGCAATGAGGAAGCGCTTGGTACTTGTTAATTAACACCAGTTAATGAAGCACTTGACGGCCTGTTTGATTAGTAAAGGAATTTCTTGTGTGCATTATGTGTGTTCTTTGGACATGTATATTTTGGTTTCAGGTTGTTGTTTACAGTAGTAAAAGTGTGTGTAGTTTGGGACTGATCTGTCAGAACACTTAGACGTTCTTGGATAATAACGAAGCAGAAGAAATATCACCTGGACAAGCATATTTTTTTTTTGTAGCCTTAATTTATGATAGGTTTATGTTGTGCTTTGTCTAGGCGCTAAAATGTGATGAAAAGTTCAGGTTCTGTTCCTCACGATTTCTTCCTGTAGCTTGTGAAATTTGCCTTTTGACCATCTTGAGTGTAGAAGAACAGAAAAGTTTTGCTGTTGGGGTAAAATTCTTTTCTGAGGATTTTCTCCTTTAAAAAAAGACTTGTCAATCCAGTTTGTAGTATGGGTGTAATAAATTAGCTGTAGGGGCCAATTTTAGTTTAGTAGGCTGGAAGCAGAACTTTACAAGATGAGAGCTTTAAATGAGCTTGATTAGTTGTCATGAAAGTCAGAGTTGTACGATTCTGCTAGGTTAAACTTGAAATCAATATGAAAAGGGGTTAAGAGGTGATTATGGTAATCTTTCTAAGGTATTTCCATATTACTGGACCACCAAGTTTGCTGAAATCAAATACTGTTTTAATTATTTTTTTTTTAATACAAGAATTCTTCTAGAGAGCCATTCTTTGTAACATTTCATATATTAATTTCATGAGAGGACTCAAACTGTAAGATGACTAAAGCAGAGAATTCAAGAAATTAATGGCCATAGATTGTATTAGTTTGGAAGTACTTTAATGTTAATGTTGGACAAAAATTATTTGAAAATTATATTTGGAGCAATGCTATAAACATTGCAACCGTTACAGCCAAACAACATTTGTTTCATTTGCTTCCTTGCAAGCTAAAACAAAATGATCTGTTGAGAACCAGCTTGATTTTACCTTATGGAGTGACACCTATATGAGTTTTCTGTTCTGTGCCCTTAATCTCCCTGTGCTATCACAGAGGGAAAATAGCTCAACGTTAAACTCTTGTTGGATAATCAAATGCTTAGTACTGTTGAATTGTTTTATTATCGTTATTACAGCAGTAATAAGCTTTGGCTTTTGACATAGTCCTTTTAGAAAGTAGAATACAGCTTCTTCCTAAAAGGACAAAATATTTTGATCTTCAACTTACAAGCATGACCATACTGCTTCATATGAATCGTTCTAGTTGTGTGACTTTTTTGATTATTTTTCTTCCAAGGTGCATGCAGGAAAGAATGTGTTAGGCATTTCTTGTATGCTAATACAAATGCTGTATGATAAGGTAATTGAATGTTAGGTATTGTACTCTCAATGAAATAATGCTTGTAACTAACTGATATTGCATGGAGTAAAAGATACCTTCAATTAAAGAAAATAATATTTCATTTTTCACCTCCAGGCTTTTCAGAGAAACCCAGCAATTTGCAGGTAAACAGTTCTTTTGTTTCAGACTACTTGTCCTGTTCATTAAAAAAATACGTAGTTACTTTGAATTTGCGGTGTGTTTTTTTGTTCACTGGACTGTGTCTTTCATAGCTGAAGATTTCTGCGTCAGTTTTAGAAATGAATGAAACATCTCCTAGAAGAGGAAGGCGGAAATCAGGTAAAGATGACATCATGTTGTTATTCTAGGTTTAGCTTCATAATCTTTCTGGATAGGCATATTTAATTAAGTATCTGATTTGTTTTGCAGATCTATTGGAGGAATTTAGTTTAGGAGATGCAGAGGATATTGAAGGTATTCATAAGTCTTTTTGTTGTGTTATTTTATGGGCAGACACATTGTATTTCAAATTCTTTCTCAGTAATAAATTAAGAGTTTTGGTTTTGTCTGTAATACACAATTAAGTGAAATCCATGGAACCATTCAGGTTGGAAAAGACCTCTAAGATCTAAAACAACGTTTCACTTAGTGCTAAAGTCCACCACTAAAACATACTGCTAGTAAGTTCTAAATCTACACATTCCTGAAGATCTCCAGAGATGGTAATTCAATTACTTCTCTGGGCAGCTTATTCCAATGCCTAACAACCCTTTCATTAAAGAAATTTCTCCTAATATCCAGCCTAATCCTCCCCTGGTGCAACTTCAGGCCATTTCCCCTATTCTTTTCCCTTGGTGCTTGGGAGAAGAGCCTGATCCCTACCTCATTACAGCCTCCTTTAAGGTAATTATAAAGTACACTAAGGTTTCCCCTGAGCCTTTTCTCCAAGTTATACAACCCCAGCACCCTCAGCTGCTCATAGGACTTATTCTCTAGACACTTCACTAGCTTTGTTGTCCTTTGGATGTGCTCCAGCACCTTGATGTCCTTCTTGTAGTGAGGGGCCCAAAACTGAACCAGTACTCAAGGTGTGACCTCACCAGATCCGAGTCCAGAGGGACAATCACTTCCCTAGTCCTGCTGGCCACACTATTTCTGATACAAGCCAGGATGCTGTTGGCCTTCTTGGCTGCTTGAACATACTCCTGGCTCATATTCAGCCAGCTGTTGACCAATACCCCCAGGTTCCTTTTTGCTGGACAGCTTTCCAGCCACTCTTCCCCCAGCCTGTAGCATTGCATGAAGTTGTTGTGCCCCGAGGTAGGACCTGGCACTTAACCTTGTTGAACTTCATACAGTTGGCCTCCACCCATAAGGCCAGCCTATGCAGGTCGCTCTGCAGTGCCCTCCTATCCTCAAGCAGATCAACACTCACACCTAACTTGGTGTCATCTGCAAACTTACTCAGGGTGCGCATGATCCTCTTGTCCAGATCATTGGTAAAGGTTTTGAAGAGAACTGTCCCCAGTACTGAGCCCTGGGGGACTCCACTAGCGACTGGCCTCCAACTGGATTTAACTCCATTCACCAGAACTCTTTGGACCTGGTCATCCAGCCATTTTTTAATCCAATTAATTGTACATCTGTCCAAGCCTTAAGCAGCCAGCTTCTTCAGGAGAATGCTGTGGGAAATGGTGTCAAAAGCCTTACTGAGGTTTAGGTAGACCGGATCCACAGCCTTTCCTGAGTCTGCTGAGCACGTCACCTCCTCCTAGGAGGAGGTCAGATTTGTCAAGCAGGACCTGCCTTTGATACACCCATGCTGACTGGGCCTGATCACCTGGTTGTCCTGTAAGTGCTACGTGATGGCTCTCAGGATAATCGGATAATCTCCTCCATAAGTTTTCCCAGCTCAATCTCCTCCATAAGTTTTCCCAGCTCTGATGTCAGGCTGACAGGCCTGTAGTCTCCCACATCCTCCTTTCAGGCCTTCTTGTAGATAGGCATCTCATTTCATAGCTGCCAGTGGACTAAGGCCTCTCCTGATAGCCAGGACTGCTGATAAATGATGGAAAGCAGTTTGGCAACAGTCCCTAATTGGCTCACTCACCGGTAGCCCCATAATGGAACAGTAAAACATTGCTAACACAGAAAGGAAAGGCAGTCTTTTCATAGTTCATTTCATGTCAGCGGTTCTTCCTGTGTGTCTTTCATATGTCTTTTTTCTCCCATGTGTTATCCTGAAGATAAGGTACTAAGAAGTATATGTGAAAATTTCTCTCTAACTTTTGTGTTTGGATTTATTTCAACAAAGCATTATGATTACTGAAATGCTCAGTCTAGATCCATATCTAGAGGCATTTTTTTTTTCTTGTACAGAGTAAACCTGGGACCTTGAAGACTTAGAGCATGAGATTTTGTTCATGGATTTCTCTGCACTAAGCGAAATGAAAATAGCTGGAGGAATGTAGCTAGTTACTGTATGGCACAGAGTGTGCCACGTATATAAATTTTTATATACATAAACCATTCCTGTTTCTTAAAGGTGTGTTTGTGACCACTTATATTAATTTTCAGCAAATTTCCCTTATACATTAAAAAAAAAAAAGTGCCCTGGAAAAAAACAGAAGTTCACAAAGATATGTCTTAAATCTGCGTTGCAGTATTTTCTCTAAATCGTAAATCATGCATTTGAGGGGATATGTTAGTTTGTGTTAAGGTTTTCCTCATAAATACAATGATTTTGGATGTGCTCTAGCTATAAATAATTTGTATTAAGTCATGTTGGATATAAAAATGTGATGTTTTCACTGTAGGTGAGTGCTCAGACTCTGCTTTTCACGTGTCATCATCAGGTGAAAAAGAAGCGATCAAGGATACCATTGAAAACTATGGGAGGCAGGTATGTGAAACCGAGTATCTTGAATTACATTCTGTAAACTGTATTATATGTTAAAGTAAAAGAAAACTTACCAGTTAGTTAATGGTGCTGAAGAAAGCGTCCTGTACATGAAGGCTGTATTATCTGAAGTAAAGTGGGATACAATCTTATGTTTGTGTAAAATGCTTACCATTATGATGGGTGTTTGACATTGATTATCCTGATTTGTTTCCAGCTGATTTGCTTAAACATTGACCACTGTTTTTCTTTGAGTGTGTGGTGCTGAGGAACAGTGCAGACAAACGTGTTCATTTTTCCTATGCAAAATGCATATTCAAGGGGGGAGAAAGATTCTTCTATCATCTCCTAACCTGTTGGACAAAACATGACAGATATTCCTCTTTGTAAGAGAAAGGTCAAGCAAAAATCTGGTGAGATGATCTGCCAGATGCTTTCTTTGCTCATACAAGATGTCCCTTGGTTTATCAAGTCAATAAGTGTTTGAAAAGAATTTTTGGAGGGCCTTTTAGAGGGGTATAAAGCAGGCATTCTGTTTATATTAGGCATACAGGACAGGGCTGCGTAGGGGTCTTCGGTGAGATTCCAGTGTCTGGAATCTGCTGTAACATTCAAGGGACAGTGGAGCAAGTAATTTTCACCCTGCACCCAGGCACCCTGAAAGAGGGTCATGTGGGTCATAATTTCAACAGGCAGAGTGTGGCATAATAACCTCACAAGCACCAGGGTATGTTTAAGGATCAATAACTTCAACAACTTTATTGAGGACAGGCTCCCTTCTTATACCATTAGCTCTACAAACAGTACTTTCCCACTCGCTGTTTCTTGGTTCACAACTTTGCCCAGCAACAGCGAACATTTAGCAACTTCCATATCTTAACGGCTGGAGAACAAGCAGTTTGAGACAGCAAGGCATCCTGTGAATCACCACTTCTTTGTTCCTTCTCACTTCTTTACATTCCTCATGGCTTCATCCTCACGAGTCCGATGTTATCACCAAGCATGGGGCTTGTAGACCCCCATGATGATACTCCCACAGCAGAGCACCGAGCTCGAGGCATTTGGAAGGTGGCGAAAGTTGAGCAAAGAGAACGGAGCTTGGAAATGGAGTGGCCAAGACAGGTGGTGGCTGATTGAGATGCTGCTCCCCATTGTGACAGGAGGAATTTCTGCAGAGTTAAAAGGGAGAAAAGGGCCTGTCTATAATAAATAGAAGGAGTGAGAAGCTTGGACACCAAGGCTGCAGGCCCGAGTTAGAAGAGAGCACAAGCTGAGGAGCCACACAGGGAGGGAACTTGTTGAGGGGAGCGTGATGCATATGAGCAGTCAGAAACGTTGAGAAACAAAGTGCAGGTGGGGTCAGGGATCTGAGGAGACTGGAGAGAGGAGCCGGTGGAGGGGTTGAGGCATTGTACAGGTTTGCTAGAAGTTTGGGTTCCTGTTTTGGGGCTGAGGGAAGGAATGGACAGGCTTTCCTAATAAATATTTTTCTTCAGAGCTTGGAATGGAATTTAACATTTCCAATTGGGGCGGGGAATTGTTTTAATGTAGCCAGTTCTCCCTATGGTGGATAATAAGCTTTTTATGGTCACTTGCACTATATTAGCTCAGCTGGCAGGAAATTGTAAAACGCCAAACAGTAGAAAGTGATGAAGGAAGGAGGGTGGGAAAATTCAAGCAATTGTGTTTTATTTGTTTATTGTGTTATGTTTTTTTTTTGTTGTTGTTGTTTTGTTTTTTAAGTAAAGTAATCAAATATGAAAAAAATAAGCTACTTAGTGACACCAGTTGTAGAGAGCAGGCAAGCTAAAAGGTAAAAGCAATCCTTAGGTCCAGAGAAATCTAATTGAAGAAAAAGTATTTCTAAAGTAAGTCCTTTTATTTTAAAGGAAAAAAAAAAAAAAGGAAAAATTGAAGAAAATAAAAGCGATTCAGTATCTTTATTTCTGTTGTATGATGGATAAGCTTGCAGCGCAAATTACGTGGATTAACTGTAACTTCCTTTCTTTTGGTAATCTTTCTGTCTGTACCTGCTTACTCAAGGAAAAATATATTTTAGAAACTACCAACTTGATAGAAAAAACAGCACATGAAAATCAGGCTGACAAAGCAGAAATTTCACATCAGGAAGCCCTAGCAGAAAATGAGGAATCCCACAGTGCTGACAAGCAGTTAAGCCCAATACCTTGGGAAGAAAGGTATGAAAGAATGTGGGTTGAAAATGAGAAAAGGGAATTGAAAACAAACTTTAAAAACATTACAGCAGAGCTGAAGCAGCTGTTTGGTGAAGTTTATGAACCTGTGAAAACTACTTCCTTTGTGGAAGAAATGTCAGAAGACAACTTTAATGAAGAACTGAAGAGTTTTCACGTTGCTTCATCTGGCATGAGAGAATCAAACAACAAGTTAGAAAGTAAAAGTGAATGTGGAGATACTAAACTTAATGCAGACCTAAAAGAACCCAAAATGGAAATTGTAATTCCAAGGCTTGGTGTTCTTCCTGATCGAAATGACTTAAATGCAAACATGGAAGATACCTGGAGTACAAATGAAAGAGTTTGCACTAACGATGCAGATAATACAAAAGAAGAGGAAAATAAAGTGCCTACTACGGAAATGGAAGAGAACAAGTATGGAAGTGGTAGAAATGCAGAGGGAAATCCTGAATACTCCCTGAGACACTGTTTAAAAACAAATATTTTGGATGACATTTCTAATATATGTCCTAATTTAAGACCTGCTTCTACAGATGATGAAAATGCATTTTTTGTAGCAGAAAGGAAATTGGGAAGAGACTTCTGTCTTAGTGACAATATTTCCAGAGACTACCTTATCAAAAACAATAAAATAGGAGAAGCAGAAATTGAAAGTATTTTTGCAAATACTCAGCAACCTTGTGGCACTCTGAAAAGGAATCTGGATGAAGAACTAGAACAAGATGTGGAAAGATTTAAGAGTAAGGTAGGAATGCTGCAAATGGTATTCCTGTCTTTGGAGAAAGAGAAGGTACAGCTACAAAAAGAGGTAGAAGTTCACCTGCTACTCCTTATTCTTTAGCCTTTCCGCGTTTCAATGGTCCTGTTCACATTAGCTATTCATCATCAATGGAAGGTGCTTTGTGCAATTTGTTTCTTTGTTTTAATGTTTCATTACTTATGAATACAGAGAGCAGTGGAGAGTTGTCCTCTGCATTACTTGATTAGGTTTTGAGAAAATAGAATGTATTATTGTTTCAGTTTAACAATAGGTGACAGTCAGTTCCAGTGTAAGCGGTTATCACTTCATTGCCGTAAAAAGAAACGCTCACAGCTATACCAGTGCTGATTCTCAATCAAAGAATGAAAATAGCTTCTGAACAGGGTCTTGGCTAATCTATTCTTTTGCTGTGAATTGTGCATGGCATGCCTTCATTGCCCTTCACTAAATTCCTGTTTGCTGTGAAACCATTTCTGCTTTTGGGTTTGAGATTCCCCCTGCTCCCCCCCATTAAGGAGGTAGCCGAGCATACTTCCACTTGTATTTTCTGTGTATTTACAACTAACAGTGTGTAGTCCTTCCAATTTCTCGTCCTCCAGTAATGCTTTCTTTTCTGTTTATGTTTTAAGGTAAATCATTGTTTTCTTTCTAAAGGCTATGTTTTTGTTATGCTTTAAATCACAGGTGGACTCAGTGTACTTTCATTGACTGTATACTTTGTAGTGTAATTTTTATGAAAGTATTTCCTATATGAATTGAAATGGTCTTATTTTATTTGATTTCAGAAGTAAAGCTTGAATTACTTGATCCTGGATATGGTATTTCTCTCCTGTAGAAAAATAGAAATATATGAAGCTGATCTTTCTTTTCATAGGTTGAGAAGGAAAAAAGGAAGCAGAGATGTTTCAAAATGCAGGCAGTGGAGAAACAAGAAGATCTTGATAAATTAAATGCACCAGCAGGCAATGCAAATCAGCAAATGAAACAAAAGCTTAATCTCAGGAAGAATGAATGTTTGAAAACTGAGGATGATAAAATAATAGAAGAAAAGCACAAAAAGGATTTTTCATCTGAGGAGACTTCAAATGTAAATGAAATGCCAATAAAAAGGTAAAGAGATTAAAAAATAAATCTCTCTAATTCTTATTTGTAATATTAAGTAGCTTTAGGAGTTGTTTTGTTTGTTTTTTTAAATCTTATAGTAGTTGAAGTAGTTTCCTCAGTGCTGAAAGCCACACTGAATAGTCCATTGTTTCTCAAGCATTTAAGAAAAATAATATTTTCAGGAAGATCTAAGTTCATAACAGAAGTTCAAATTTATTGCAGTGGGGGGTGAGAGAGAGATCTTGTGAATTTAATTGTCAATATTGAGGCTAAGCATGTTTTCAAAACCAGGGCCATAAGACTGGAAGAAAGAGTTATTGTCTTAGGAAATAGCCACACAGAAAAGTAGGGACTTATTTGCTTTCTCCCTTTACTAGGAGACTTTAGTGATCCTCATGCAGCTGTTTTCCTTTTCATTAAGCTTAGATTGCCTTTGTCAGGAAAAGGGAAAGATAGTATTAGCAAACTTATCTAAAAAGTTTGAAGAAGTTGCAGATGCTTTTACCTTCCTCAAGCATTTTTTACTGTTCCTCTGAGGGGAATCTCTGCTCTGTGTACTTCTTCTGATGGGGATAGGGATGTTCTACCTTACCTGAATTTTCCTCAGATTCTATCATTCCTGCTCAGTTCTAGAGGAAAATGTTTTAATAATTGAGTGTATTCTAGAATCTTGGGAATCAAGCTTGTGGTTTGTCGCAGATGTGTTTAGTCTTGGTTGTTTCAGGACTTGTTTCTGGAGCATATGCTTCATATTTTATGTAAGATACTTGGTGAGGTTTTTTTTTTTTTTTTTCTTTTTAATGTAGTAAATCTTTCCTGAAAGCAAAAGATGTAAAGAAAAATGAGAGTAAAAGACAGTCTTCAAAGCAGAAGGCTAATCAGAGGATGAGTTCCTCCAGTGGGAATCATTTTCAAGTACTGGATGATAGCACTTTCAGTGAAACATCTCAAGATGAAGAAAGGTACTGAATATAAGGAATATTATAAATAAAAATTTGTTATAAAAATTGACCTGAAAGTTAAAAATAAGTTTTGTATATAGAATGCATACAATGATTCTTCTTTCATGTGACAATTTAATCTAATGCCTTTTATGTTCAAAATCACTTACTTAGAATGCTTTGAACATACTAGTCAAGCTAATGATAGGGGAAAATGAGCACAAATTCTGAACTACCTGAATGTGTGCACACATTTATATTTACACATGTGCACAAACGTACATTTTTTTAATACATTTTTTAAGGGAGATGGGGACTAATAAAAGGCAAAGTTGCTTGTACACTACAGGTTTCTCTTTTTTTTTCTTTTCTTTGCCTGCCCAAAAAGAGAAATATTACCTCCTTTGTAGTACAGCGCAAAGACAGCTGTATAAGCTTTGGATGTTGCTCTAGTATCTCTATAATCCACTGTGCTGTGGAGTGTGAATAACAGTTTTTCTAGAACTAATTCAGTGTATTTGGCATGCCATCGAACTGTCTCAGATGCATGAAGCATCAAGAAGGAGAAACTGCACAGAGCTTATCAGTACAGGTTGCAGGCACATAGTTCTTGCTGAAGAGCAGTTTTCCCTCATTAATGAACTTTTGTTTAAAAAAAAATGTTGATGTTTTGCTGGTCTGAAACTACCTCAAGTGGAAAGTAGTGAACTCAGGACGTCTTTAGTACAAAATTAATTGTCATGACTAAATAAGTTTGACTGAACGAGCAGTCCTCAAACTGAGAGTGACACCATCATGCCTAGACGTCCTGAGTCTGGATGGGATGGAATTAGTTTTCTTCCTGGCAGCCCACACAGTGCTGTGTTTTTTAGATACATGACTAAAACAGTATTGATAACAAATCAGTGGTTTAGCTGCTGCTGAGCAGTGGTTTCACAGTGCTAGTGCATTCTCTGTTTCTGACTTTGCCGTCACAGCAAGTAGGTTGGGTATGGGCTAGAGGCTGGGAAAGGACACAGCCAGGGCAGCTGACCTAAAATGACCAAAGGGATATTCCGTACCATGTAGCTTCATTGTGCTCACCACTAAAACTAGGGTGTAGTCTTGCTCAGAGACTGTCTGGGCACTGGTTTGCTGTTGGGTGGTAGTGAGTGTTTTGCATCTTTATTTTTTTTTTTCTTCCTTTCGTTTATTTATCCCTGTTTCTGTTTCTTCCAGTGAGTTTTTCTTGCTTTTGGTTTTCTGATTCTCTCCCCCACAGGGGGAGTGAGCAAGCAGCTAGTGAGTGCTTAGTGGCTAGCTGGGCTTAACCTACCAGAGCTCACAGGCAGTAGCATTAGAGGTTGAACCTGATGACCATCGTGCAGCGGGCAGGCTACGACTTGGTTGCCATCACGGAAACGTGGTGGGACCAGTCTCATGACTGGAGTGCTGCGATGCCTGGCTATAGGCTCTTCAGAAGGGACAGGCAGCACAGAAGGGGTGGCGGTGTGGCTCTCTATATTAGAGAGTCTTTCGATGTTGTAGAACTCGAGGCTAGGAATGACAAGATCGAGTCCCTTTGGGTTAGGATCGGCAGGGACAACAAGGCTAGTGTCCTGGTCGGGGTGTGCTGTAGACCGCCGAACCAGGATGAGGAGATGGATGAGGAGTTCTACAGGCAGCTGACAGAAGTTGCGAAATCTTCAGCGCTTGTACTCGTGGGGGACTTCAACTTCCCTGACATATCCTGGAAGCACAACACAGCCCAGAGAAAGCAGTCTAGGAGGTTTCTGGAGAAAGTGGAAGATAGCTTCCTGACACAGCTGATTAGTGAACCTACCAGGGGTGGTGCCCCAGTAGACCTTCTCTTCACAAACAGAGAAGGACTGGTGGAGGATGTGATTGTCGGGAGCTGTCTTGGGCAGAGTGACCACGAAATGGTGGAGTTCACTATTCTTGGCGGGGCCAGGAAGGGAACCAGTAAAACCACTGTATTGGACTTTCGGAGGGCTGACTTTGGGCTGCTCAGGACACTAGTTGGTGGAATCCCTTGGGAGGCGGTTCTGAAGGGCAGAGGGGTCCAGGAAGGCTGGGCGCTCTTCAAGAGGCAAATCCTAATGGCGCAGGAGTGGTCTGTTCCCATGTGCCCAAAGATGAGCCAGCGGGGAAGAAGACCAGCCTGGCTGAACAGAGAACTGTGGCTTGAGCTTAGGAGAAAAAAGAGGGTTTATAATCTTTGGAAAAGTGGGCAGGCCACTAGGGAGGACTATAAGGATGTAGCAAGGCTGTGCAGGGACAAAATTAGGAAGGCCAAAGCTCATCTGGAGCTCAATCTGGCTACTGCCGTTAAAGATAACAAAAAACGCTTTTATAAATACATCAACACAAAAAGGAGGACAAAGGAGAATCTCCATCCTTTACTGGATGCAGGGGTAAACTTAGTTACAAGAGATGAGGAAAAGGCGGAGGTGCTCAATGCCTTCTTTGCCTCAGTCTTTAGTGGCAATACCGGTTGTTCTCTGGATACCCAGTACCCTGAGCTGGTGGAAGGGGATGGGGAGCAGGATGTGGCCCTCACCATCCACGAAGAACTGGTTGGTGACCTGCTACGGCACTTGGATGTGCACAAGTCGATGGGGCCAGATGGGATCCACCCAAGGGTACTGAGAGAACTGGCAGAGGAGCTGGCCGAGCCCCTATCCATCATTTATCAGCAGTCCTGGCTATCGGGGGAGGTCCCAGCTGACTGGCGGCTAGCGAATGTGACGCCCATCTACAAGAAGGGCCGGAGGGCTGACCCGGGGAACTACAGGCCGGTCAGTTTGACCTCAGTACCAGGGAAGCTCATGGAGCAGATCCTCTTGGGAGTCATCATGCGGCACTTGCAGGGCAAGCAGGTGATCAGGCCCAGTCAGCATGGGCTTATGGAAGGCAGGTCTTGCTTGACGAACCTGATCTCCTTCTATGACAAAGTGACGCGCTGGGTGGACGAGGGAAAGGCTGTGGATGTGGTCTACCTTGACTTCAGCAAGGCTTTTGACACTGTCTCCCACAGCATTCTCCTCAAGAAACTGGCTGCTCTTGGCTTGGACTGGCGCACGCTTCGTTTGGTTAGAAACTGGCTGGATAGCCGGACCCAAAGAGTTGTGGTAAATGGAGTCAAGTCCAGTTGGAGGCCGGTCGCTAGTGGCGTCCCCCAGGGCTCGGTGCTGGGGCCCTTCCTCTTTAACATCTTCATCAATGATCTGGACGAGGGCATTGAGTGCACCTTCAGTAAGTTTGCAGATGACACCAAGTTAGGTGCGTGTGTCAATCCGCTCGAGGGTAGGAAGGCTCTGCAGGAGGATCTGGATAGGCTGCACCGATGGGCTGAGGTCAACTGCATGAAGTTTAACAAGGCCAAGTGCCGGGTCCTGCACCTGGGGCGCAATAACCCCAAGCAGAGCTACAGGCTGGGAGATGAGTGGTTGGAGAGCTGCCAGGCAGAGAAGGACCTGGGAGTGATGGTGGACAGTCAGCTGAATATGAGCCAGCAGTGTGCTCAGGTGGCCAAGAAGGCCAACGGCATCCTGGCTTGCATAAGAAACAGTGTGACCAGCAGGAGGTGATCGTCCCCCTGTACTCGGCTCTGGTGAGGCCGCACCTCGAGTACTGTGTTCAGTTTTGGGCCCCTCACTACAAGAAGGACATCGAGGTGCTTGAGCGGGTCCAAAGAAGGGTGATGAAGCTGGTGAGGGGCCTGGAGAACAAGTCCTACGAGGAGCGGCTGAAGGAGCTGGGCTTGTTCAGCCTGGAGAAGAGGAGGCTCAGGGGCGACCTTATCGCTCTCTACAGATACCTTAAAGGAGGCTGTAGTGAGGTGGGGGTTGGTCTGTTCTCCCACGTGCCTGGTGACAGGACGAGGGGGAATGGGCTAAAGTTGCGCCAGGGGAGTTTTAGGTTAGATGTTAGGAAGAGCTTCTTTACTGAAAGGGTTGTGAGGCACTGGAACAGGCTGCCCAGGGAGGTGGTGGAGTCACCATCCCTGGAAGTCTTCAAAAGACGTTTAGATGTAGAACTTAGGGATATGGTTTAGTGGGGACTGTTAGTGTTAGGTTAGAGGTTGGACTCGATGATCTTGAGGTCTCTTCCAACCTAGAAATTCTGTGATTCTGTGATCTTTTGAGGTTCCTTTCAAACTGGGTTGTTCTGTGATATTATTTTTAGTATCTTGTGGGAAAGATAGCTTTCCTGTACACTTAAGACTTTTTTTTATCGGTCTTCAACTAGATGTTCAAAATTCTTATATTAAATTTTAGTTTAATTCACTTATGAAATAGTTTTCAGAGCAACTTCAGATATTGCTTGTGATGCAGAATAAGCATTCCAGTAATGAAATGTATTTCTGTTTTCCAGACCTGCAGCAAAAACAGGGAGTGAAAAGAACAAGGTAATGTAAAATTAGTTTCTTGATAATTATTCTGTATCGATTTTTAATCACTTAAATAGGAAACGGCCTTTATGTAGTGGTCCACCAGATGCACAAATTTCTGCTAGTATGCAACTTCACACTATTTTAGCCAAATCTATAGGCTGCACATGAGAGAATGAATTGTTCTTGCATCTGTAATGATCTATAATAATGTGTTGTTGTATGCAGAAAATATTGTATCTTCTATATATCTTTTTAGGTCAGCGTACAAATGGATGTTATGGATAACCTTGATTTAACACAGTCATCTGACACAACTACAGAGGATGTTGAATCGCCAACTCCAACCTACAAAGAAGCTATGTTGCTGTTAGAACAGCTTGGTGTGGATCATGCAGGTAAGTTTTCAAATCACTGTTTTCTGTTACAAGTTCCTCTTTTAAAACATGATCTCTCTGTATACCTAATTTTTCAGTTTTCTATTTTGATCTGATGTTTACCATGAGAGACAACTCCTGCCCACACCCTAGAGAAGTATGAATTTCTTCAGCACTGAGTGTGGAATTCATCTCACCTTATCTTTTATGTCTATCTGTATCATCAGCAAATGCATCTTACTTATTGCAGGCTATGTCTCTAGTCTAGTCAACAGGACAGTGGGGGGAAATAGGATGAAAAAACTCAGTGAGTGAGATAAAGACAGGGACATCCCTTACCAATTACTGTCATGGGCAAAACAGTCCACTTGGGGAAAATTAATTTGTTTACTATTTAAAATAGATTTGGGTGGTGAGAAAAACCAAAGAATAAAACAAAAAACAAACAAACAAAAAAAACACTATTAAAGCAACACCTTCCTCACACCCCTTTCTCAGGCTTAACTTCACTTCAGTCCCACCACCTGAGCCGTGCGGGTAGGACGGTGGGTTTGCAGTCTGTGCAAAGCAGTGCCTCTCCTTCCTCTTCACACCTTTCCCTGCTCAAGCATGGGACCTTCCACAGGCTGCGGTGCTTCAGGATAAACCTGCTCCAGGATGGGCTCTGCATGTGCTGCATTTCTTGTCATGAAGATCTGTTCCAGTGTGGGCTCTTCATTGACTACACTTTCTTTAGGAAATGTGGGGCCCTCCATGGGCTGCAGTGCGGATACGCACTCCAGCATGGTCCTCTTCAGGGGTTGCAGGGAAATGCCTGCTTCATTATGGTGCTCTCCACAGGTTGTAGGGGAATCTGCACAAGCATCCGGGGCACCTCCTCCCCAACCTTTATCAGACCTTGATGTTTGCTCTTACTCATGCTTTTTTTTTCCCTTCTCCTCCTCTGCCTGTGTAGTGTTTTTTGCCCTTTCCAAAATACGTTTTCTTGGAGGTGCCACAAGCTTGGCTGTGTCCTGCGGTGGGTCTGCTGGAATCATCTGTGTCTGGCATAGGCAGCCCCTGTCCTTTTCACAGAGATTTCCTGCTACCAAAGCCTTGCCACCTAAACTCAATACAGCTAAGTATTAAATATGTTATACATTGGAAAGTATTTGTGTGTATGTGCAATTTTGTCTATTTTCTATTTCCAAATAGGTTCTGTTATCCTGCTGAAAATTCAGAACATACTTCTTCAATACGAACAGATAATAGAACGTGAAAAAAGTCGGTATGCAGCTCTCAGTAGAGAAGTCAGGAAATTGGAAAGTGAGAAAGAAGAGTCACAATTAATAGCAGAAGAGACTCAAGATTTGAAATCCATATTGGCTCACCAAGAAGTGGAATGGAAAAGTGATATCCAAAGCCTTAAGTATGTAATCCTTTATTCTGATCATGGGTGTTATCTCGTCAGTATTCACGTTGAGTAATAGTTTATTTTTGTGTTTGTACAGCTGATGCACAAGATGTCTTCCACCACTAATGGAATGAAATTACAATTCTTTTAGAAGCCTAAAACTGTATTTGAAAAGATGTTAAGGTTTAAGTTTAAGGTTTAAGTTGCCTCTGAAAGTTCTTATCATGGCATATTTACTTTTTATATCAGCAGTTAGTTCCTCAGATAATCTCTGTTAAATCACAGATTTTCTTTGAAACAAGAAGAAGAAAAGAGGCTCAGAGTTGAAATGCTGTATGAGAAAACAAGAGAACAGCTAAGAAGGAAAGAGGATCAATACTGTAAAGAGATGGAGAAGAAACAACAACTTGAGTTGCACTCAGGGAATTTACAAACAGAGATAATAACATTGAGAAAGCTCTTGAAACAGGTATATTAAATACTAAGGTAAACATCTTCTCTTTTCTGTTTGTTTTAATTGACATTGTATTCTACTATGTTCAGAAAAAGAGGTTAATGGAAGAGGCATTAAATAACTATATTGCCACGTTTTGAGGACAGTAGAAAACTGTTGGTTCACAGGCAGGTTTACAGGCAAGATTCCTTTTCTCCTTTTTCAGAATCAGGGTTTTATTCATATTTCAGGCAAAGCCTCACTTGGAGTTATTTTTCCTAATTACTACAAAACATTGTATTTTTTTTCTTAAAATTTATTTTCCTTCTGAAAAAAAAATATTCTTGCAGGGCAGGTATAGTTACAGGGATTTAAATTCAGGCCCAAATGGTAGCATTTACCTGAGATTCTGTACACTGCTTCTGTTGCCCACAGTCAGGAGACTAAATCCAGGTAAACCTCTCTCGCCTGTATTTTTATTACAGTTTTAGTACTTTTTTTCCTGTGATTGAGATGATGACATTCTTACGTATGGTTTTGTGGATTTTTTCACTGGTCTTTACATACTTTTAAGTATATCTGCCATGGTTCTACACAGTTTCTGCTTAGGACATTGCAGTAGGGTACGGTCAATGGAAATGATGTGCTTTTAGAAATGTTATTTATTCAGTTTATGTTGCTCTTAATGTTAGTGCTAAAACTGATGAATGGGTGTTCTCATATCTTTGACTTTAAGCATATGAATGTCCATTCCTGTTTTAAGTGAGTACGTATATTGCTTTAGTAATTTGACTTGGGTTTCTGCTTAAGCTCTGTATGGAATATGTTACCAAGAATAATAGCTTTCTTATGTTTATTTATTTATTTTTGGTATAGAGAGTGATTCATTAAGTATAAAACTTTTATAATGCTGATTGTGCAAGCTAAACTTGAACATGTGCTGTTCATACATTTTTTTTTATTCATTCAGAAATCTAAACATGCTTGTTTTCAAATACTGAAAATGTGTTTGTAAGTCTGTGCTTAGTAATAATTATTATACATTTAAATTCAGAGCAGTCTAAATCATTTGCTCTAGTAGGGTTAGCCTGTGGGATGCTTGCCATCAATCTGTGTTGTTTGTCTCGGACAAGATGAAGCAGCTTACTAAAATTCTGTACACTCTGCCCTAAAGGGCAGTTGCGTCTTCCTAAATATGTAAAGCTGGCTAACACCTGGATTCTGCTTTTGGGTTCACATAAGTTGTCAAATTTGTAACATTAGGAATACTTTCTCTTGCATAGAATAAACAGCCAGGAACATAAACAGGCAAGAAGCCAGATCTACGCAACCCACATTATGTCAGAGTATGTGTTTGTCCCCTGCCACAGAAACTGAAACCAGTACAAAACAAAAACAAAAAACAAAAAAGTTGCCATTCAAAGGAGATATTTTGGAAACAATATTAAATCTAGTTTAGCAAGGTGGACTATTGTAGCTCTTGAGGAAGCAAAAGTGCATGAAATACAAAGAAGAATGAAATGGGAAGATATTGATAGCTCTGATTTTGCTCAAGATTCAGAAGCTCAATTATATTACTGTAGGTTGAAGAAGAGCGTGATGAAACACAGAGACAGCTCTCTCAGGAAAAGAGTGCAAGAGCCCTACAAGAAGGAATTTTGAACAGCCACCTGTGGAGACAGAAGGAACTAGAAGAAGAGACAAGAATAACCATAGGAAAAAATTCAGAGGTAAGCAGTTCTGTTTCTAATTAAATTTCACTGCTCTCATTCTAAAATGATTATAAATCTTAAGTAACTTTTTGTGCTTTTTGGTGGATTATCTACAGTTGTCAATATAACCCAACTACGTTACTGATGTCTTCAAAAGTTTGGGAAAGCAGCATCAGTCCCATGAATTCCCCTGAATTGTATGTGGAAATAGCCAATATAAAATGCTACACTGTTTATCCAGTTTCTTAAGCTATCTGCTATTTTTCATTTTATAGATGTTAATTTTTTAACATAATTTTTAAGGTTGCTAGCAATCAGACACACAGTTACCTCAAGGCTGACCAGGAAAGAAGTTTTTTAACGCTGTTTGCAATACCATTGCTTGGCTTTTGGATTAGTTATACCATCATCAAATCTGTTTACTTTGAAGTATGCCTTCTTCTACCTTCACATTCTAAAATTTTATAAAGGAATATGAAGAATGAATGAAATTTCTCTAGGAGATCAAATAATTGGAGGAGATAAAAAGCAAAGCTCTATTGGGGAGGGGAGGGAGGAGGAGGAGAAATAACCTCAAACCTGCCAAGGGTTTACTGAATTTGCTAAGAACATCCAGTGCTTCAAGTAATTATTTGTTCTTTGTCGTACTGTCCAAAAAACATGAGATTTTTACATTAATGTGGAAATAATTTCCATATATTATGAGCAGAAAACACGTAAGAGTACTGCATTTAAGGGATGATTGATGGAGTCGTATAGTTTGCTTTCAGTAATAAAAAAAAAGAGAGGTAGCATTTATAGTTATTGCAATTCAGCTTCATGTTAGAAAAGGAAAATAACCTTTTTATATCTCTGTTTCTACTAGATTTATAACACAAAGGTATGTGGTTACAAGAAAACATTGACACTTGAAAAAATTGTATTTAAAATATCCCAAATATAAATTATAATTTAGTTGCTGCTTCAAGGCCGGGAAGTGGAAGGCATATGTTTGGGATGTTCATACAGCTTTTAAGGGTTTGGTAAAATTCCAGTGCATGCACTTGTACACATGCATTGTACAGTAGCTTATGTATCACCTGAAACTTCTCTCTCATCTTAGCAGTCATTCTTCAGTATTACAAATGCTAAAACATAGTTTGCAAGTGTATTTTGCAGATTCATTTCCCGACTGGCTATTTATTCTTTTTCCCTGTTGCTCAGGAATCTGACACTAATGAAAGGGAAAAGGACCTGTTGTACAAAAATCAGTTACTGCAAGATGAGATTGCTATGCTAAGACTAGAACTTGACCAAGTAAAACTTAGGCACCAGGAGGATGAAGGAAAATATTTAGAGGAAAATGAAACTTTGAAAGAAAAGAATGAAGATCTTAAAAAGGAACTTAAACTGAATGAGGAAGCCTTAACACAAACAGTATTTCAGTACAATGGACAGCTGAATTTACTGAAGACAGAATCCGCAGTGCTAACTTCCAAACTTGAGCAGACTAAAGAAAGCAAAGACAGACTGGAGACAGAGATTGAATCGTTTCGTTCTCGCCTGAATGCTGCTGTTCAAGATCTTGAACGTCATCAGACATCAAAAAGTGATGTCGAACGAACATTTCAGAGAGAACGTGATGAATGGCTTCGGTTGCAAGACAAGCTCCACCATGACCTCTCTGATGTGCGAGAAACCAACAACAGCTTGTCTCAGCAGCTGAGTAAAGCTGAAAGCAAAGCTAATACTCTAGAAAATGAGCTTCACCAGCTGAAACAAACACTTAGAGAAAAAACACTACTTTTAGAAATGACACAAAAGGAATTAAGTCAAGCCCAGTGTCAGGCAAAGGAAAGTGATCATGCTCGGCAACTTGAGAAAGATCAAGTAAGCAAGTTTATGATAAAGCAGGAATCCATGCAGGAGCGATTGGCACAGCTCCAAAGTGAAAATCTTTTACTCCGTCAGCAGTTGGAAGATATGCAGAACAAGGGGATCATCAAAGAAAAAGTTGTGAATGATGTCCAGGACAGATTTAATGATATTTTCAACAAACTCAGAGCTGATACTGAAAAGCAAGTTTACCTGATGGAAGAGAGAAACAAGGAATTAAAAACCAAGTGTACGGATTTAAGAGAACAAGTCTTCAAATATGAGGCTGACAAAGTAGAAAGAGAGGTAAATTATACATTCAGAACAATTTAAAGTTTATTATTTCTTGAAATTGTTTTATATTTCTAAAACAAATCATGCTTAAGTTATATGTATAGGACCAAATCATGCTGATTCTTTTCTGGTTTGTTGTGTTTCTCCTGGAACTGTGAAAGATTTTTGGCAAATTGGATGTCAATGCCAAGATCTCATCAGAGAACAGAAAAAGGTATCCAATTGTGGGGTTTGATGAAGGAGGTAGTTCTTCCTTAGAACTTTTTTCATCCCTTTTCCTTAGTCCTTTTTGTGCCGTGTAGAGTGGTGTTTTGATATACCTTATGCACTTATGACACACACACAAACACATAAAGAAGAACCATCCAATATGCAAGGGTTGAGAAATGAAGATGCAGGTAAGTGAAGTGATTGGGGGGGAAAAAGGGGGGGAAGTGTTTATAGTATATTACTACAGAAGAAATAAAGATGCTTCTCCATAAGATGCAATAAAATTGAAGACCATTAGTATTGTCCAGGTGTTAATTTTTGTATGTGTTTTGGGAGTTCTAAAGTACGTGTCAGTTCCTCAATAATTTGATTTTGAACACTGACCTAAGTTTAGCCTACTCCATTTTTTTTTTTGTTGTATAGCCATATTTAAATACTTCTTTTATTTGTGCCTCTGTGAAAGGCTACTTAGCCACACAGAAGAAAGGCTAATTAGGAAATCAGTTAAACTTTCTGCAAATTGATACAATGCATGAGTATGAAATGTGCTGCTTTGCAGAGTGCTAACATAACTTTGTATGTCTCAAATATGCATGAAACAAGTGTTGCTCCCAATTGTAGATGACTTTTGTCAATAAAATGGGTGGAACTGAAAATTATGATGGAGGTAGAAGCAAGGAATAGCTAGACAGCTGAAAAAGCTGGGATGGGAAAATGTGTAGTTATGTATGTTATTGTAATAGGTAGAGTACTCTCAATTCCAGGTAGAATAATGATTAAAAAGTTGCCTTAACCATTTTGTTTAATCTTTCCTGTCTAGAAAATAGGAAGTAATCACGTTCTGTATTTAGACTCTCCGGTGTGAGGTTCATGTCCTTTAATGATTTGAACGGTGATCTAAAACTACTTTTCCTTCTTCATATCAAACTCAGAATCTTTGAGTGAGTTAAGTACTTGAATGTGTCTGATAACCACCTTAATTTTTGTTTACTTTGAAAGGTGGGACATGGGGAGAGTAGTGCAGCAGTGTTGTCAGTCAACTTAACCTGTAAATTGCTTCATATTTTTCCTACTACCTTTCAACTTTAATAGATATATAATGTTAATCCAAAATGAATTCAGTAAGAAGACTGTAAGATGATGTGATTTAACATGTACTTAAAGCTTCAAAAGAGTTTAATTATATTTGCATAGTGGAGGAATAGCACAAGGAGAGACCTAAGACAAAGTCCCACCTTTGAGTATCAGTGCAATATCTTTAGCTCTTACATCAAAACAGATCTGTGTTTTTTAGAAAATGAATACATGATTACAGTGTGTGCTTGTGTTGTTCCAAGAAGAATATGACTTAAGCCTTTTTTTATTACTATTATTTAGAAACAGGAACTCTCATAAAGAGTGTCTCATAGTTTGTATGTGTGCAGTTGATGGCGTGCAGGTACCTGTTGGTGGCACGCAAAATGTCACACCTTTGAATTTACTGCGAACACTGAATTATATGACCTAGTAAGTTTAAGTAAAGAAGCAGAGCCATGTTTCATATGCTATTCTTCATGTTCATCTTACTGTTTTTTTTTAGGGTATGGTCAGACAGCTGCAGCAGGAACTTGCTGATGCTCTTAAAAAGCAGTCTATGTCAGAAGCCGCACTTGAAGTTACTACGCACCACCGCAGTGACCTGGAGGAAGACAAATTGCGCTTGCAAAAGGAGTTGGACAAGGTTAAAACCAAGGTATAGAAATGAAATACCCCTCTGGCCGGTGTGGGTCAGCTGTCTTAGCTGTGTCCCCTCCCAGCTTCTTGTGCACCCCTAGCCTCCTTGCTGGCAGGGCAGCGTGAGGAGCTGAAAAGTCCTTGGCTCTATGTACACACTGCTCTACGACATCTGTGTTGTCTACATTGGTGTGTTTTCACCACAGTTTTCATCAAAAATCCAAAACGCTGCATTATGTGAGCCTCTGAAAAAAATTAATCTGTACCAGACAAAACCATGATAGTTGCCTATGCTTTTCTTTTCCTGAAATATAAGTCATGAGAATCTAATTATTTTGGAGCTGTGAGGTCACTTTAGGAGAAGGATGAATTGAAAATTTTCAGTTCACTGAAATTAATTATTAATTAATAATTTTCACTGGACTAGCAAGCAAGCGGATTCCATGCCATGAGTAACTGAAAGGGTAGGAGTGGTGGTGTCAGTGCTTAGATGAGTGCTATAGAAATTCAATATAAGGATGGGAGAGGCCGGTGTAACATGAAATAACACAATTTCTATTCATTTGCTAGGAGAAGTGAAGGTTCAAATGTATTTCAGGTGATTACCGTACTTTGAGTAGAGTGTATGTGCATATACATGCAGTACTCAAATTCTTTAGCACCCATTGACTTCTCTAGAGAGAAACTAACCTGGCTAGTATGGATTTTTACTGTGAACTTTTTCAGTTGCAGGAATCAGAACAACAGCGTATTCAGTCTGAACATTGTGTTCACGACTTAAAGACTGTCTTAGATAATAAGGAAAGAGAATTAATAGCTTCTTCCAAGAAACTGCAAGACATTCTGTTATCATCTTCTGGAACTAATACTACTATAAAACAACTGGAAGAGCACGTGCAAAGGTAAGAAGATAACATAGTGAAGCAAGATTTTTCTTTCTGTGATTATATGAAAACAACAGGATTGTTTTGTTGCATCACAGGATATTACTATAGGGTTTTAAAAGAAGCTTTTGCATTAGATTATGTTCTTTCACACTGTTCTTTCAGAACTTGTGCTCATGTGAATTTCCATCATAAGACCTGTATTTCTCTTTCAGGCTTGAAATTGAAAATGCCAGATTGGAGGCCACGGCCAAACAACAAACCAACAGGATTGAAGCACTTCAGAAAGATCTGCAAACTTCTGCCTCAGTAAGCTAGTCAGCTTACTGAGGAATAAACTTTTTTTTTTTTTTTTTTTTTTTTTTTGTGTGTGTATGAGCTTCTGAGCATAGTACTGTATTTTCTGTGAGAAAGCTGTAAGATGGGATTTTTCTGGACAGTGTAGGGGAGCTCAGTTCCTAAGTTCTGCTGACTATAGGCAGCTCTGAAAATCCTGCTGGGTACTTCCCCAGATTCCCAGTTTTGAGAGTTTTCTTGTAATATTATAGCAAGCCCTACTTAATGCTGTCTAAGGTAAGGTTTTGACGCTCAAGTGCCGGTTTAAATATTTTCTGTTTTATGCCTGTCATGACATCAGATGCAGCTTCAGACACATATCAGTATGTGCATCTTGAAAGATTTTCAGCAAGTTACCCCAGGGAAATTCCACAACTGATATTGGTGCCAAGAGCTTTATGCCAGAAGCCTGACTGGAGGAACAGCTGAGGGAATTGGGGTTGTTTAGTCTGGAGAAGAGAAGGCTCAGGGGAGACCTTGTTGCTCTCTACAACTGCCTGAAAGAAAGTTGTAGGGAGCTGGGGATCGGCCTCTTCTCACAGGTAACTAGTGATAGGACCAGAGGGAATGGCCTCAAGTTGTACCAGGAGAGGTTCAGGTTAGAAATTAGGAGACATTTCTTCTCAGAAAGAGCAGTCAGGCATTGGGTCGGGTTGCGCAGGGAGGTGGTGGAGTCACCGTCCCTGGGGGTGTTTAAGGGAAGGTTGGACCTGGTGCTTAGGGACATGGTGTAGGGGGATGGTTGGACCAGATGATCTTGGAGGCTTTTTCCAGCCTTAACGATTCTCTGATCAGACCGGGACAAGGATTATATTCCCCAGAGATTTTGCTGTGCAGAATTGCTTTGCCCTTGGTGGCTTGGTGTGTGTTTTCATGAAACAGTAAAGAGGAATTTTCATGGTATCATTTGCAGAACTTGTTGCAAGGCTTGGAATTTCTCAGTGCCCCAACTCAGTGGTTAATATTAGCATAAATAAGGTGGTTTCATCTGCGGCTTATATGAAGTAAATAATTTTTATATTCTAACTGGTGCACTAGGGTGATTGTTACACCTGTAGTTAATTAATGTTGAAGAGGTTTCGAAAATAATTGTACCTGAAAGTTGAACTTTGCATGCTGTGCTGACACTGGCAAAAGAGGAGGGAAGGCAGTCACAGTGCTTACACTTCCCCCTTAGTTAAGATAACATGACTTTCAAATGTACTGTGAACACACCAAGGATATTTTCCCATTCATCGAAGATTCTTTGTATTCTACATGGTTCTCTCCCTGGAGCAAATGGCAGAGGTGATGATTGCTATGAATTTTATGATAGCATCAGACTAAGGTGGTTTGGATTGTTGGTGGTAGGGATAAAAATTAAAACTATGAAGAGATGGAAAGATGTGTGTAATATTTATTTCTGGTACTGAAGTGTGAACTTCGGTCTAGAAAGTCATAGTGTTGTCTTTTTTTTTTTTTTTTTTTTTTTTTTAACACTTCCTTAGGTTCATAATCGCCTAGAGGACTTGATAACTGGCTTGCGGACAACGCAGACAACTGCAGAAGAGTACCAACATGAGCAGGTACCTTAATGGCTTCTGCAAATAACTGGTTTAGTCTTTTTTGTTTTGTTTTGTTTTGTTTTGTATGCAGGTAATTAATGGAAAGATTGGGTACATTGTAAAGTACAGATGAGCTGACAAATACCCTTCTGGTTTCAGGGCAAGGCACCTTCAAGGGTAAAGGCTGTAAATTTCTGCATTCCTCTGCTGCTGCTGCATTTTGTATCTGTGTGGTGGTATGTGAATACTTGTGTTCATTGGCATGATTCTTTTGATGGATATGATGGATGATGTGGGCAGGAGGGAGATGTGTGGTTGAAGGCTGAGAAGGGAGACTGGACTTGGGAGATCTGTGTTATCTTCAGCACTTCGTCACAGCTTCCACATGAGCTCCTTAGCTTCTTTTCCCACATGTGAATAGATTCTGGTGCTGTCCTGCTACATGAGGGGCTGAGGTAAGGAAAAAGTAATTAGGTGAGGTGATGCTGTGCAGTGGCTGGCAGCTGGTGTATGTGCATGGTCTAGCATCTTGTGAAACCCTGGAGTATTCTTAAAGGACTCTGTTGTTGGGAAATGAAACTGTTGCAGGGATCTGTTGGAAGTAAAAAGCTGTTGGTTTTCTGTCCCAGTGAAGTCTGAGCTCTTTTCCAGCCTTCTTTTCTTTCTTCCTCTTTTGGTGTCATACTAATTAGAAGCAATCATCAGGTTTCAGGCATACATACACTTACTAATGTTTTTTAACATTTCTTTATCTTACCTCTAGATTGTTGTGCCTTAGGACCTAGGATTTGACCTACTCTGTAAGGACACACGAGAAAGCTTTACAAAATTGTAAATTTAAACCTAAAACTTTGTGCAAAGTTTTTGTCTTTCTGTAGATTAGTGGATGTTTTGTTTTTAAATATGCTACTCAACACATCTAGTTAACTTTTATTCTATATATATGAACTGAATAAACAAGCTCATTTCCACATAAATACATCTGTGACTCAAATCTTTGTTGCTTTGTGTAAAAGGAGAATATTGCTGATTTGAAAACATTTTCTTGCTCTGAGAAGATATGCAGTTATTACACAAGCAGTGAATGTAGGGTAGACAAATCAATATGAGCTTAATCAATTATGTATCATTATGAAATCAAGAGGAACTTGTGAAGAAAGTTGTAGGGAAATTTTAAGTGTCGTCTTACTCCTAGAGTTGTAACCTCATTTTGTCACATACAGAGCACTCACTCTTTCCACTAGCTTTAAGTGCTGTTCTTGGTTGTGTTCCTGAGCTGTGTTTTACACTTTGTATTAATATTCACTGTAGATGAGAGGAGAGCGTAACCCTGCTTCCAGTTAAGTTACTACTTCATATAGCAGTGTTGGCTTTCTAGTTATGTTGTTTTTTTTCCTTTGCCATTGTTACTTCCACAGATGCAAAAGCAGAATGTGCTGCCTCTGACATCAAAAGACCCACGCAGTATGTGGGAGGAGGAATTGAAGTCAAGAACCCACCTTGAAGATCGTCTTGCTCAGCTTGGCAGGGAAAAGGCCGAGCTCCTAGAACAGGTGAGCCCTAACACCTACTCAGTATCCAGAGTTATGTTCACATTTTTGCTGACTTTTTACATACTCAGTCTTTTCTCTTCTTGCTATTCGGACCACAAGTAACTGTTGATTTGGGGGTTATGCAGGAATTGAATAAAAGCCCATGGAGTATGTCTCTGTAAATGCTGGAGTGGTTCTGTTGGGAAAACAGTGTGGTTTGAGCACATTTTGCAAAACTGAAGTTCCCCAGTTCTTCATTTAAATTCCTTCTGGTCATATAGTCCCTTGACTTTGGGACAGGGTTAAAACACTTGATGTTTCCAGTACAGTGTATGGAGGAGCTGCTACAGGTTTTCAGAATAGCAGGAGCTTAAAATAAGGAGCAAGTACAAAGTACAAGAAAAGCTGCCAGATCCCTTCTGTTTTGCCTGAGAAGACACCAAAAGAAAGAACAATGACTGAATTAGTAGACACTGACAAAGAACATGCAGAGGGAATGGCAGAGGTGAATGAAACATTGACCAGCTCCAGAAGAGCCACCTTCTCCTCCTTGTTGAAGGTTCAATGAGAAGGTCTTTGCCACCCTCTCACCATGAAGCCCTGGGAGAGGTGGCCTTTGCTTCAGTGGGGACGTCTCTTTCTGTCTCTCAGTATTGGCCCCTCTGTGTGGAACCTGAAGTGATTTCCTGCAGAAATGTTTGCAGGGACCCTAGGGTTCTGTTGAACTCTGAAAGGGGTGTACTGCAGCTTCTTTGTGGAGAACGCCATCCGCGCATACCACATGTAGATGCTGTCCCTGTGCTGGTTGTGCCATGTATCTTTTCTGTTTTGAAAGTGCGAGAGTGAGAGAAAGAAAGTGAAGAAGTTGATAGAGTTGAAACGCCCAGTTGAGGTGCGTCTGGACCAGGAAATGAAAAGAAACATTGAACTGCAAAAAGAATGTCACAGGTATGGCTTGATTCGTACTTTAAAGGGAGATCCCATACAGCAGAAATCAAACTTCATGGGACTTGAGTGTAAAAATAGGTGAGGGTAACTGTCTGTGAGCAAATTCAAGCCTCGTGCTAGGCCTTACAAGGCTCTTCTGTACGCGTGCCTATGGTTTTTCAGAGCTGTCGAAAGAACTTCAAATGCACATTGCCCTGCAAGTCTCCTGGGAGGGAAGGAAGTCCCTTCTCCATTTTACTCCTCTGTTGAGGTGAAAGATGGACCCTCCAAGTGATCTGTGGCACTGGAATGCTGTTTTTTCTCAGTAGCTCCTGGTCTGTCGAGTGTGTTAAAGCCATCTTGATGCTGTTTGTGTCTGAGAATGTGGAACAGGCTGGCAGTTCCTTCACCTCATTGTTTTCTTGACTAATTTGCCACTCAGGTGCAAGAGGCTTCTAAACAGAGCTATGAAGAAAATCAGGATGTATGAGGCCAGAGAAAGAGAGTCTCAGTTTAATTTCCAGGGAGAAATTAAGAACAGGTATTCTGAAATGGTCAATGAAGTTGGCAGATTGAGAACAAAGGTGAGTTCTGGATTGTTTGTTTATATATGGCATTATTTTCTGGAAATCTGTAATATTATTCTCATGTACTTGCTTCTCTAAATGGTGTTGTTGGCTCCCAGGGCAGGATGCAGTGAAGGGATGAAGAAGTTTTCTTTATTCACCAGCAGTTGTCTCAGCCCGTCTTTCCCTAGCCATGGGCACCCTGAAGTGGACCAAGAAGTGCTTTTGAGCTGCCGTGGGTGTCTTGTTCAGTTGCACGGAACCCTTTAGCTACCTTTCCCCTCGTTACTGAGAGGTGCTGCTAAGGCACACGTGTGCTTTAGAAGGTTCTGTAGAAGGACTCAAGTGCCCTTGTGGTGGCCCATTCTTAGTCCAAAGGCTCGTAGCATTCTCGTGGCTTCACTGCCATTAGAAGAGTGCTGTTATTTGAAAGGAAATAGCATTGTGGGTAGTCAGTGTAAAATGAAGATTATTTTTTTATTTTATTTTATTTTTTGTTTGTTTCCTGAGGGTTTCTGTTTTTCTTGTTGTTGTTTGTTTGTTTGTTTGTTTCTATCTATTTATAATAGGCAGGAACCTCCCGAGTGTATTTTAAGTAGGTATAAAAAAGGGTGTATTTCTGGAGGAGGAGAGCAAGACAGCACCGCTGCTGACCTTTGGGACTTAATGGAACATCTGCTATAACCTCCGTATCCTTGCAACCACACATCAGCTTTGACCTAGAGAGAAAAGGCCTTCCTCCAGCAGCTCTGTCAAAGTGGCCTCCTGAGGCACTGTTTCCAAAGCTTTCAGAGTAACGGCAGGAAGAGCATTGGTTGCTCGTGCCTACTCCGTTCTGCACTGCAGCGCTTCCCCCAACACACACACAATAGGCGTTCTTTCTGGTGTCTGGGTAGAGGCGTGTTTGATGTCCCATGAGCAGAGGAGCATTTTGGGCAAAAGCGTCCCTAGCACCTTTCATCCCAGTCCCACAAGGGAAATGCTGCTGGTTTAGTACCTCTTTGTGGTGTGTGACCTGCTTCAGAAGAACTAAGGAAGGATGGGAGCTTGGGAATCCTGTTGGTAATGATGTTAAAGCTGTTCTTCTTTTAAAATACAAGCCTAGCTTTACTTTGGTCTTAATACTGTGTCAGAAGATAACAAATACAGTATTGGTGGCCTTCCTATATGAATTTTCACTGAATTTAATGTTTTTTTGACCCGTCTACATTTATTTTATTGCTGTCTACAGGTTAGTGAACTTTCCCAGCAGCTGGAGCTGGAGTCTAAAAAATGCATGCAGCTGGAAGCACAAAATCAGGATTTGCGAGAAGAGCTGTCTGCTCTGCGTGGGAATCATGAAATACTGGAGAAGAGCAAATGCCAGCTGAAGGAAGAGGTGGCAAACCTCAGACATCGTTTGGAAACTAATATGGTGGATCACAGCCAAATAGAGCAATATAAAAGAGAGATGGAAGAACGAGCTGGACAAGAAATCAGACAAAAGCTACAAGAAGTCAATTTGTTTTTGCAGGTATATTAATTAGTCATTTTTGCCTTCAGTCTTTATTACATTATAGTTTTTCTGTCATTTTTAGTATTTTATTTATGGTGGCTCATTCTGTATGTTAGTGCTGTGCTTCTGTCTTTCCAGAAGGGAAGTGGGAGAAGGGAAAACGGTTGGGCTAAAATGTTTTTGTGTTTGTGATGTGTCTGCAGGATCTGAAGTCTGTAGTCTGCCCATGGCAGACTTGGTTTTGCAGTTCTTAGAGGATATAGCTATCTAGTGATCTTGTTCTCGCTGTTCATCGTCAAATGAGCATTGTAACTTAGATGGTTTGGCCAGACATCCAGGTCTTGCTTTATCATTCTGTGGGGTAAAGTGCTCAGGAAAGAAGTCACTTAAGTTACACGGGCTTTTGTGAAGGGGGCAGGAGGGTGGGATAAGACCCTCATAATTTCTTTATGGAATCTTTTTCTGCCTGACCTATGCTACAGAGATAATGTTCTTTTGGTACTACATTTGAATAATAGTGCTAAGAGCAGATACCTTTCTGAATTAATTATTTAATGTGGTAGTTCCAGAGTTCTGTCTTGATTGCTGATGGTAGTGAGGGGGCACAGTTGCCTCAACTTTGTAAGTTTGGGACCTTGAAATTGAGTATGTTGGGGGGGAGGGGGAGAGAGACACTTCTCTTTTTCTTTATGGTGGTTGAAATTGCATTATCTGCATTATCAGACACAGGCAGCCTCCCAAGACAGGTTAGAACAAATCAGAGCCAGTCACCATGCTTCGCTGAGAAACCAACTAAAACACAGAATTAAAGATCTTGAATGTGAGTTGGACAGGATAAAAAATACTCAACAAGACAGTATTTTTCAAAAAGAATCCACACAAGCAGAAGTGGAAAAATACAAAGAACTGTATTTGGAAGAAGTGAAAATTAGAAGATGTCTAGCAAATAAGCTGGAAAGGTAAGCCCATGCTTTTTTGGAGTGGTAGCAAGATGTGAAGTGGTAGCAAGTTGTATAAAAATCATTGTACAATTTCCTCCTGAAATCCCTCTTCTACTTCTGGTCAGCATTATGTCAGTAAATGTGCATAAGATGGCATATTACAAATTTCAATTTTTTAATTTTATAAAAGGAGTCCTCTACAACCCTTCCCCTTTTTAAGAACTGCCTTCATTTCGTGTCAGTGTTCCAGCAGTGCTGCCACTGGTCATGCTATTATTAGAGTATTTTTGAAGTTAACAGCATTTTAACAGGCATCCTTTTGGCCCCTTCTAATAATGTCCTCCTCTTCTTCTTCTGTGTAAGGCAGAAAAGAGTGATTGAATGTCCTGTCCCACTGTCTGCAAACTAGGAGTGCATAAAGATAGACTTTCCAGGGGGTGGATTCTTGATTCTGTGACACAAAACAATCTTTTTGGCTGCCATTTTGGCAGCATGTGTGAGGTTTGTGCTTTCCTTGGGTGGCGGAGAGTATCCCGGAGTTCTTCTGCAGGTGATGCACCTTTCAGAAGAAGCTGTGTAAATATATGGCATGCTTTCAAGTCTTAATGCTTCAAATGTATTCAGTGCTGAATTGTTACCAACTTGCTGCTTTCTACAGGTAGTATAACTTTCCGGAAGTAGGTTCTCCAAAATTTTCAGATTGGTTTGCACTCTCATTTTGAATTCTTTTAATCTCTTTATTTTCAGAAGTTAAATTAAAGTCAAAAGACCTGGAAAGTGAATTTGCAAAAATACTACAAATATAATTCTTTGCATGGTTTTAAATGTTTCAGAGCTAATGAGAGACTAGCAGAAGCCAATGCTAAGCTCCTTCAAGAGCGCCATAGAAGCAAATCTTTAATTGCAAGCAGCATCGTCGGTGGAGGTCTGGCTGCAAGTCCAGTTCTATATTCAACTGAACTGGGACATCTTGGCAACAATTTGGCACTGAACAGAAGTCTTAGTCTAGGAGGAAGCTTCCTTGGCCCACCTGGGAATGCATTATCGTCAAGAAACAGGGTTGAAGCCTATGTGGCTAAGGTAAGCATTGTGAAATGCTCTTCTAGCTACTGTTGAAGAATATTTGTAAGCAAAGTTATGATTCTTAGTGTACAGTTGGAATCTATCAATAGTTTGAAACCATAGTCTAATATGCTAAACCAACAGCTGATCATCAAAACATTATACATCTGTGTGGCAGGGATGAAGGCTTTCTGTCATTGGGATTGTACAAAATTCCAAGAGTCCTCAGAGACCAAAAATACTGGCATCTAAATAATGAACTACTATTAACTAATACATGTCTATTTATTAACAAGAGAAAATATGATAAAGAATGCTGCGGAAGAAGTTCCCAGCTAAGCTATTCATTAAATTTTAATGTACAGTGTGTAGATAATTGTATGACATCTTTAAAATGGATAACTTTGAATGCAAAATCCCATCAGACATCTTTACTCAAGACAATTTTTCTTTCCTTGCTGATTTTCATTTTAGTACCTTCTTTTCTGAAACATGTTTTAGTACATTAATACCAATGCAAATGATGCTTCAAAACTAGGATGATAGCAGCATGATTGCTTAACTTCTTACTATATAGTGTATTGTGGCATGCATGCTGTGCCTAGGAGGCATCTCTTTTTGTGGTTCCTGCTGAGTATTATTACCTGAAATGATAATATCTAAATAAAATAAATTATTCTTCAGGAAGTCTTCACAGCTTTCTAATTTTACAGCAATGCTGCAACCTCTACAATAGCTTTGGTAAAAGTAGCATAAAATAGTACAGCCCTAACAGAACGGTGAGCGTTATATCAGGAGATCTGGAAGCCAGATGTTAGTAGGTTGTGATCAGTTCTCCACTTGGCACAGGATTAAAGCATGGATAAGCTTCTCTGTTCAGTCAGTGTGTTTTATTGCTCACGTATTCTGTTGTTGAATGAGTGTGAAAAGTTATTAATTCACCTGCAAGTCCATCTCAGTTCAGTGGTCCCACCCACATGGGAAGGATCCCAAGGATCCCATTTAAACAACATGTCTACATATTGCATCTTTTTTGTTTGTTTGTTTTGTTTAGTTTTTGTTGTTTTTTAATGGACAGAGGAGCGTAAGTAACACGTAGTAGTGTCAGTTACAAAGATGAACTTTTCTGATTTACTGTCAGTGTGTCTTACTTATATCATGCAAGTAGTGTGAACAGGATGCAATTCAGGGACCCATGCAAAAGTGAAATAAAGAAAATGCCAGGACAAGGGAATGAGGGAAAGGGAGCAAGGAACTAGTAAGGGAAGAATACAGAGATGGGAGCAAGGTATTAAAAGAAAAAGAAGGAAACCATCCCATTTCTAGAAGAGAAAAGGTTAACAGCTGTTCTTTCTTTCTTTGAAGAAAGAGTAAAAAGACAGTGAAGGGAAAGAAAGTGGGAGTACGTAGGACTGTTTCCTAACTGAATTACAGCAAAATTCTTCATATAGTCCTTTCCATTTTAGTTTTCCAGAAGAATTTGGAACTCTTTGGGCTTCTTAAAGTTTGGTCAATACCAAGGTCCATACTTTCACTGGTTCCCTTAAACATGTTATAGAAATTAAATATTTAAAATGTTATTTCATAGCTCGTTTTTATGTAGTTGATAATATTTATTCCTAGCTTTTATATGGGCTGCTTCAACAGGTTGTGAAGAACGATTCACAAACCTGCTTGTGAAAAACAATACTTGAGCTGATTCCAAGAAAATGTGTGCATTAGATCTGTGAATGGTGATACTGTTCTCAGTCAATATCCTGACTTCAGTGGCACCCATAAAGTTGTTTTTTTTCTTTCTTTCTGATTGTATGACTCTTGCATTTTGCGAGGGATTGGTGTTATGGGGAAGGCTTTTAGATTTTGGTATTGTTTTTTGAGGCTTCACTTACAAGGTTTAAAACAAAACAAAACAAAACAAAACAAAAAACAAAAAACAAACAAAAAAAACAAAAAAAAACAAAAAAACAAAAAAAAAAACAAAAACAAAAACAAAAACAAAAAAAAAAAAAAAAAAAAAAAAAAAAAAACAACAACCATCAGCCTTGAGCAGACTCACAAGGAAATGTGAGAAAAAATTGAGTTATACAGTCCGGCCTCACCTGGAGTACTGTGTGCAGTTCTGGGCACCACAGTACAAGAAGGACATTAAACTGTTGGAGAGTGTCCAGAGGAGGGTAACAAAGATGGTGAAGGGCCTAGAGGGGAAGATGTATGAGGAGCGGCTGAGGGCACTGGGCCTGTTCAGCCTGGAGAAGAGGAGGCTGAGGGGAGACCTCATCGCAGTCTACAACTTCCTCGCGAGGGGGAGTGGAGAGAGGCAGGTGACCTATTCTCCGCAAACACCAGTGACAGGACCCACAGGAATGGTGTTAAGCTGAGGCAGGGGAAGTTTAGGCTTGACATCAGGAAGAGGTTCTTCACCAAGAGGGTGGTTACACACTGGAACAGACTCCCCAGGGACGTAGTCACTGCACCAAGCCTGTCTGAATTTAAGTGACTGGACTGTGCTCTTAGTCACATGGTCTAAACTTTTGGGTAGACCTGTACAGTGCCAGGAGTTGGACTTGATGGTCCTTATGGGTCCCTTCCAACTTGTGATATTCTATGATTCTATGATACATTATATTTCTCCATCTTGAATTACATGTTAGGTGAGGTTTTCTGTTTATTATTTGAAGGGGGCTGGGTTCTAAATTTCTCTCATGGGACCTAGTCCCCTGAAGTTTTCTCTGATCTTGTTTACAACCTACAGAAACTTTATCAGTAGAGAAGCTGAGGATAATTGGTTCATACTATACATGCTTTATATACGTGCTTCTTAGGATTAGCTTTCAATTCTAAAATAATGTGATATTCTAAAGTTTTTTTGTTCGTTTGTTTGTTTTTCTGAATGAAGGTAAATCCTCAGATAACTTACCCATTCTTTTACAATTTTTGCCACACCCCTTTAAGAAAAACCCGGAACTCTTAGCTTGCCTGTTTTCCCCTCAATCAAGCAGAAGGCTGGTCTCTGGGACTTAGAATTACTGGTGTGAATTTATCCTTCTTTTCACCAAATCCAACAGTTTGGGAACAACTGAGACTACTTGTAATGGCAATGTCTGTAGACTCAAGTCACTCAACGTTGAATATATTCAGAAGAATCTTAAAACCTAATCTTGTGTTTTCAGTCCTTCAGAAAAAGAAGCAGGGTTCTCAGGTGCAGTAGTTGCTAGAGGATATGTATCTCAGCATGTATTTCACTAGAACTGGTATTTGAAGAGACACCACGTACCTGAGGAACTGAAAGCACGGGATTCCTGACAGGTGCATGTGTAAAAGATTTGAATTAGAAGTTATAATCTATTTTGAACTATTTTACCAGTTGTGCTGCTTAAGACTCTGCCTAACTTGTCACCAGACAAGTTAAAGACACAAAAGTTTCTCAGACTAACAGTGAGGTGAAGAAAAGGCTTAACTTCAGTTATACCTCAGATATTTCCGGTAACCTGGTTCCTTTCTACTGGGGAAAAAAAAAAAAAAAAAAAAAAAAGCCCTCTGAATTTGTATTGCCTTTAAATTCAAGCTGAGTGCTGCCTTACTGGGTGAAAGAGATTACAAGCACTCCTGACAGTAAAGCTTAAAAAGACAGGGAGTTAAGGAACTTAGATCCCAGTGTGCCTCAGGTAGTTATCTTGCACTTTTTTTTTTAAATCAAAGCTCTTGGTGGAGATTTGGTGCTTCTGTCTCTACCTTCCTCAAAGTGAGGAAGGTTATTTGAAGTACAGGACATACCTCTCCTTGAAAGAGGAAGCTTATATAGATTTTGACTTTGCTTTGTGAAAAAGCTTTGAAATAGCTTCAAGGACAAGAAGCTGAAAGTATTTCACACTGCCATTACTCAAAATGCTGGTATCAATTCCTTTGTCCATGCAACTGGTAGAAGGTAAATTGTGCTGTTCCAAACAAGAGGATGTACTTAGGGAATTTAGAGCTTCATGTAAACATGACATGACAAATTTGGAGTTTCAAGGCGTGAAAGATTTCAGTTTTTATAAACTACTGTTTAACATTAGAAGGCTAATATCACTGATGATGCATTTAGCCTTACATTTTGAAGACAGTCATGTTGCAGACTCAGCCAAAAATGAACATCTTACTCTCAACAATTATAAAGAAACGCATGTTCCATTACAGTATAGCCCCTTTCCCCATACCAAGCGTATATGCTGCAGAAATCAATGACCTTGAAATGGACATGCAAAAGCATCTTGAAAAATCCAAAAAAATTCATACTGACACATGCTAATTAACCAAAAAGATCAAATCACATGTAAATGTCTGTTTTATTATTATATTTTTATTGTTATTATAATCTTTTGTTATTATTAGAACTCCAGGAGTGAGGAGTAAACTACAAGTCCTTGAAAAATTCCATGTAAGTCACTACAAACAGTAGCTGTAGGAACTAACAAGCGATTCATTATGTTCTGGAATAATGTTGGCTGAAATTGGTTACATATTAGGACTGGTGCCATTTGGAAAAGTGTGTCTGTATTTCTGTTACAGGAGCAAAGAGATCTTTGATGAGTTCTGTTTTTCAGTTTATGATTTGGTCTGCTGACTCCCAAACTGCTCACAAATTGGCCTATCACTGTCTAGAATTAGACTGAATCAAGCAGATGAAACACACATGCAAGGTTCTTTTAGTGGTCTTCTTACCATAATTTGGGAACTGCTGCTTTAGGCCTTAGATAAAGGCAGGGAATTTCTGCTGCAAGGAGTTTCGGAGGCAAGAGTCCTGTTAATAGGTTCAACAAACATCAAGCTTAAACCTTAACAGCTGTGCCAAAGGCATAGTGAAAATGAATGTGAGTGCATTGACACAGAAAATAATAGTGAACGCTGCTAGATGCAACACGTGTGGTTAGTGGATATATGAAACTAGCTTTTCTACTGGTAATGTGAGAGCAGGAATGCCCTCCTCCTACTCTGTCTCTCAATTTCTGTTCCCTTTCTGATTTTGTTTCCTGTCTGCATTCCTGTATTGTAGCAGTCTTTGTATCGTTAGCCAATTTAGTTGTTTTATTTACATGTAGGTCATGTTCTTAGTTCTTACTGAAGACTTCTGAACTTAAGGCCATTGTTCTTTCTTCTTCAACTCCTTAATCAAAAATCTGTTCTTTCTCTTCTCTGCAGCCAGATACATGACAAGGTTTGTAGCCAGTATTGTTTCATGTTGGGTGGTATTATATACTAGAAATGTTTTTGTCTATATATGCTGTTAGGTTTTGATTAAAACTTTTACACGTGCATTCACATTTTCTTATTACTGCAAATATTTTAAACTTGTTAGTTTGTCCAAGAGACAGGATCACCTCTGCAGAGCGTTTTTGTGATTTAATGTATGTTACAGTTTTCGTGGTAGTTAACTGTCTATAAGATATCCTCCTTGCCAGTTCTGATATTCAGAAAGTTCTTGGTAGTAACAGCAATTCATATACGAAGTGCCAGTACTGTTCTGACTTCCTCAACTGTGAGTATCATTTCATGGAGTCTCACAGGATCCAAGTTACTCTGCTCAAGCAACCTGTGTGGGTAAGTAGTAAGTCAAAACTGCTCTCTGAAAAAGAGTTTTCGAGAAGGTGACTGCCGCAGGGCAACCCAGGGTGCTACTGCCTGAAGAGATGTGCAGTGGAATGAGAAGTACCTCTGGGTAGAACTTGGTGCAGAACAGATCAGAGATCATTAATCAGTTTTCAGTTGTGTTACTGTTGTCTGGCAGAAGTTTTTCTGGAATCTGAAGTTGTCACCTTATTGCTCAGGAGGTTCAGGATAGTCAGCTGTGTTGCCTTTTCCAGGGGGATAAGGGAAGGAAAACAACAGTGAAGGCACAAGTTATTGTCTTCAAGTGTGTATTTTGCCTGGCATTTCATTCCCTCTTTTGGAAATGAGCGTGCCAGCTTATTTTTAACCCACTCCTCTTTCCTCAGACTTTCATGAGGTTCACAAAGATGTTAACAGAGTATATAAGAAAAGAAGAACTTCCTATTTTCTTTATTCATCTGTACTTGTTGGGGAGGATTTGGTGGGCCTTCTGATCACTGTGGAGGCTCCAGAAACCAGTGGAAGTGGTTTCTCCTTCTGAACTACTACTGCTCTGCTTAGGATTGGTCTTGTTTATGAGTTAGCTTTTAGTCTAGCTACTTGGTTTCCTTCATCTTTTTGTTAGCAGTGTCTCTGTGCATTAGGCTCCCTTCTGCCTAGGATTTTGCTGCTTCTTTCCCCTGCTTGTAAATAACTAGAGGTTGAAGGATCTGGGGGATCCTCTTCCTTCCTTCTTTCAGCTCCTTGTTCCCTTCTTCTACCTGTGAAGGTACCAAGAAATATCACTGAGTGATTCTTCTTCAGGTGGAGATGGTGAATTTGGTTGCAGCTATCCCTGTGGTCCTGGAGAGAACGCCCTTCCCTCCTCGCTGCTGGTTTGTAGCCCCACTTCTTTGGCCCTCACAGTGGCCTGTTATGGCTCCTCTTGTGAGGATTTGCACAGTTCTTCCCTTCCAGAGATTCTTGCTTTCCCTGGCCTGTTGAGTACATTGAACAGTTTTTCAGTTCTTATCTTTGATACGTTGCTAGGCGAGCCTCCTCATTTCATAAAATAAATCCCTGTTCCCCCAGGGATTCAGCACTGAAGTCAGAGAATGACTGAATGGGTGAGGTTGGCAGGGGCTTCTGGAGATCATCTAGTCTAACCACACCCCTGCTCAGAGCAGGTCAGCCACAGCAGTTTGCTTAGGGTCATGTCCAGCCAGTTTTTGAGCATGTCCACGGACAGAGACTCCACAACATTTCCTGGCAAAGTGTTCAGTGTTTGACCATACTTGCTAAAATAATAATACAAAAATCCTTATGTTTGAATTGATTTTCCTCTATTTCTACTTCTGCCTATTGTTCTTTCACTTGGCACCACTGAGAAGAGTCTGGCCCTGTCTTCTTTATACTCCACCCACAAATCAGATAGTTACACCCATGGATAAAACCCCCTGAGCCTCCAAGCTGAACAGTCCCTGCTCTCTCAGCCCATCCGCAGAAGTCACATGCTCCAGGCACCTGATTATATTCATGGCCTTCATATTTGCTAATGACACAGGTCTGGAAGCTATCTGTATGCTGTCTGTTTCGACAGTCACTTCTATGTGTCACAGACTTGATGGAAGATAATACAGGAGTCATGAGTACCATCAAATGTACACAACAGCATGTAGTGCTGGGGCTGTGGCTCTTTGAAAAGTCTGATTTCTCACTATGAAGACTTTGCAGTCAGAATACAGGGCAGTAACTTAACTAGTTGGCAGCAAGAACCAGCTTCTAGGGGTGAGAGGGGTAAAGGCTGCTTCCTAGTGATCCAAGCCGATTTCAGTTCCATAGTAAAACACACAGCATTTGTTTTGCAGAACCTGCAGCTGCTGCTCATAGCTTCTCAGTAGACAGGTAACAAGAAAATAACGTGTTTTTATTCTTTTTGCATGTGTAATAACAATAAGGAAAAATACTGGCATGATCTATAGCAGCTCTTCCAATTTTCCATCTTAAGGTGGAAAAAAGAAGAATATTGATGCGCGCTTTTTTGTCCACAATGGAATGTGTCGGTCCTTCAGCAGCTGCTGTTGCAGCTGTTCTCTTACAAAGTCGCGGAAGTAGTCCTCAACCGAAACAGGCCCCATGATGGCGTTTGTGCATATCTTATTGTTTGGCTGACGTTCTGCTCGTGTATTTGAAGATGGACATCAACCATACACACACTTTTATAAAACCACTGTGCTTTCTTCCTCTACTTTTTTTATGCTCAGTTATGTTCCAGATGGTGAGTTACCGATTTTGTTGTGCTAAAGTTAATGTTGCTCAGCAATGAGAATGCTATGGCCTGGCTGACCAAGAGTTTCTCTTTGTAAAAAAATCAACCCCCAAACGAAGACGTCTCTATTTAGGATGATGTTTTCATTGTTTGACATACATGGGTTTCAAAACTGTTTAATTTTTTTATTGCAAAAATATAACTCTTGAAATTTTAACTATATATTTTACCTGTAACTCTAGATACGGCGGGAACTGGATGAAAAAATCACTAAAGAACTTGAACAAGGTAATGTGTAATTCTGTTAGCAGTGTTTTTAAGGAAGATGATGGTTGTTCCTAATTTTTGGAAATACTGACTTGAAAGCTGTCAAGGGCACACCTGTTTTCTGCTAACTGTCTGATTTAGAGTTTTATGTGGAAAATTTCCTGCTTACCAAAATACTGCACAGAATGTTCTGCAGTTACTTGAGAAAAAGCAAAGGAAACTAAACTACCTCCCCCACACAGGTGCACTTGACTTAAGCTAAAGGTATCTCTAGTCCTCAGACACAAATATCAAACATAAAAGAAGTCCTGAAATAAGATTTTTATAGACTTCAGCCATCACTTCTCTTTCTGCATACATTCATTGCATTTGGCACTGAAGCGTACCATGACACGTTTTCTGGTGTTAGTTCTAGGTTTTTGCTGTCTCTTATTCACTGCTTGTATTTGTAGTTTACACGTTGCAATCTTCGGATGAGCAAGAAGAATCAGTGACAAAATGCATCCTTTCTTTAGGAAAAGTTTGTTCAGTAATGTTGAGGCAAATACAGTATGAGGTGGTTGCTCGCAACATGTAGTAAAAAACATGTTCTGCAATATGAGGCCAGGTCTCCAGAGAGAAATTGCACCTCTTTCATGATAATCGTACTGCCAGAGTCACTGCTGCTGTGCCTGGAGCTATTTTGAAGCAACAAACCCCTGAGAGCATTGCCTTCTGTTCCAGTGTGCTTCATTTATGTGTAGTGAGTCCAGCTGTTGCTTTACATCTCTTTACATTTGCTTGCATGGACACAAACCCATTGCTTTATATCCACTGGCGTTTTCAAATGTAGTGATGTGTATGCTAGGAGTCATAGTTTTGTTTGAGGGGACCTTGCCTCAAGAAGGTGGATGGATGGAAACACAGCAGAGCTTTGTTTTTCTGCTCTCGTTGCATGTGTGTTTCCATGGAGGAAAGAGGGGTTTGCCAGGGCAAGTTATAAAGACACCCCACAGAAAAGGCTGCATTAGTTCCAGGCTGGGGAGACTTGTCCTGCTTGGATTGCAGTACGAGGTGTTTCCATTTTCAAAGGCAGATCTTTTTCAGATTGGTCACAATGAATACGGAAGCTGTTTTTAAGGGGTAGTGTTCCAAGATCTGCAGGGAGCTAAATTTAGCACCGGTGTAAGCTGGTAAGCTGTAAACTGGTGCAAGAGTTGTTTGCAGATTCCCTGAAGGTGTTATGTGTGTAGCTTCTGAAATTTCTGTCACTAGTTTTAGAAGTACTGTTGACTGATAATTAAATGTGGAAAACAGTGTTTCTTCCTTTGTGCCTGTTCCTTTTTCTTTTTCTTAGAAGTTTTTAAATCTCTCTCCAAATTTTAGCCTGTCCAGTTGCCCATAATATAACTTATTTGAGTTAGTCTACTGTAAAAGTAGCATCATGAATCTTGTTTCTTTTCTCCCCAGCCACTGCTGAACTTGAAACTGGATCTGCTGGAGCTTCTCCCATGGTATCTACTGATGGATCTTCAAAAAATTTCAACGTTGACCAGGATCCCCTTTGCAAGGCAATACAGGAGTACCGTGATGTTTTAACCAAGAATTATTTGATCTGAACAAAATGCAAGGGAAAGGCACTAGAAAGTTTGTTTACGTAACATATCTGTGGTTTCCCATCCCATGGCTCAGAAGCAAAAACATCTTCATTGCAGTTTGAACATAAATTCTATTAAATAGGTGTCACTTGTTTTTTGATGTATAGTTGGTTTATTTTGCACTCAAAATAAGAACCATATCTTTTTTTTCTGACTAGCAGAATGACTTGATTCATGAACTTTACAGAACTCTCAAAATGTTTCTGATTAAAGTTAGTTGAAATATTTTGTTCCCCTCTTGTTCAGTGTTTTAACAAAAGCATTTATTTTGTTCTGTTTAATACTTTCATTCTATGTGTTTTAGTGTTTCCAGTGTTATTTTAATGCTTAAGGATATCATTTGGTTGGATTTTTGTCTGCTGCTTCAGTCCTGATGCAGTGAATATTTGTTGATTAAGTGAAAGTTTTACCAGTGTTTAAGCTGGAAAACAGGGCACTTTATATTGCTATCACTTTTATGTCCACTAGGCTTAAAAATACTGTGAATGTACAGTAGTGCCAAGAAAGCTTTTATGTGGTATGTTTGTTTTGGTATCCATGTTGGTTTTTGTATTAAAACTTGCTTCAGCTTTAGACATTTGTAGTTGCTAGATGAACACCTGTGGTGAACCTGAAACAGTCCATATAGGGAAAAAGGAATATTAACATATCAACCTTTGGTCTGCTTGGTACTTAACAGTATTTGTGTGATAGAACAGCTTTTTGTTGCTGCTAACAGCTGATGGTACAGTGGCTGCAGCCCAGGTGAAGGGCAGTATTGTGGGACGTTTGTGTCAATAAAAGAAGCAGTTTTACTTATTTCAGGGAGTTATCTGCTACTGAAGATCAGCAGTCTTCACTTCATGTCTACCAAACTTGCTGGCAATTAGATTATAGAACAAATGAAGTCCAGATTCTGGAGAAATAAAAATGGTTGTACTGAATGAAGCCTGGAAAAAAAATAATGTTTTTTTACCCATTAATTCAATAACTTAACAGGCAGTGAGGAAAAGCAGTGAATGCTGCTATGTCTCTCTGCTCCTTTTTGTATGAATACAACAGTTTTGTGAAGCTAATACACTGTATTTAATTCCAGGCATTATGTTTCAACTTGGTATTTAATAAAATTTAAAATCTAATATGTCTTTGTTTTATTATATTCCCCTTCTTGATTTTGTTTTCAACCTCCTTCCTTGCTTGTATGACTTGCTAGAGCTGTCCTCTGCTCTCTTCAGCTCTGTTCATGGCTGCGTCTTCAGCCTGGCCTGAGAGCAGGTAAATGGCTGAAAAAAAGGCACCCGTCTCGTCCTTTTCTTCCACTTGAGGCTTGAAGCACATTTGTGTAAAGATCAGGGACTAAAATTGAAGTATTGGTACTAACCACTTTCCAGGCTACTTTTTAGAGCAATTCTGCTTGTGGTCCGAAGCAGATGAGCTGCTGGTAGGCATGAAAGGTTGTCAGATCCCACAGCTTTGGATCCCATGAGGAGCTGATCAGTTTGTAGCCTGCCGAGAGGAACAGTGTTAAGAAATTCCTCTGGCCTTCAGCACGGTGGTCAAAGAGGAGTTCACATTGTTGGAGAGATGCTGGAAAGTACCAAAGAGAAAGCAAGAGCAGAAAGTCTCGGCCTTCACTTTGTGTTGTAATTTTAACAAACTCAGGTATGACTTCTTTTAAGTGTCTTCCTAACCTGCTTCTGTGCTATTGGCTGTCAGTGAGAGGGGAAAATTGGGTGGAGAGGTGTGATCTTAACGAACGTTTAATGAAAGGCTTGCTGATCCTCAGGGGTGATACTCTAACAGGAAACCATGGGTAAAGTCTGTGGTGTAAATCTAGCCGTGTGCAGGGCTATTTGGGGTCTTTTTGGCAGCAGGTTAACACCTCTCCCTCTTGAAGAAACCTCTTCTGAAAAAGTCTGTGCCCTTGTGCTGTCTTCAACTGGTTCAGGAAGGGATCAGGGTGTTCAGATGCCTGCAGCAGGGCCAGCTGTACTTGGCACACACTCAGGCCACCTTTTGAGAGGCAGCCATGAGTTTTGTTGGTGAGCCCCAGCCCCTGGGGGCCCTCCTAGGGCAGCCTGTGGCAGTGCTGAGGCCTCCTGAGCTCTGTGCCTCCCTCTCCACCTCTGCCCACCCAGGTGGGCACCTTGCTTTGCTCCCAGGGCCTCAGGTACCGTCCTTCTCCCCTCAGCCCTGCTACAGTGGCTGGGCAGGGGCCGTGCTGCTGGGAGCATGCTGAGGGCTGGGGTGAGGAGAAGCTGTGCGAAATCTGAGGGCTGAGCGAGGGCAGCGCTGATGGGCAGGGGGCAGAGCCTGGGCGGGCTGCTGCCAGGCCTTGCCCTGCTCTGCAGACACCCATCAGGGGCCTGAGCAGCAGCTGCTGGCTGATCCCCGGATCAGGGGATGGATGGTCTGCTCCACACAAAACCCGGGCTGCTGAGGGTGACGAAGTGCGCCTTTCTCAGAGTGGGTGAAGTATTTTTGCTCAGAATTTAGTAGAGACAAATTGGGAGATGGATATCTGCTGGTGATAAGCCCTAGGGCAACATGACAATGTCTGAGCAATGGATTGAGCACAGCATTCAAGAAGCATTTGGGCAACGCTGTCAGACATGGCTTAATGCATAGTCTCTTCTTCACATCAGAGACTGTTTTCACTCTGATCCTAAATAAATATTTACTTGAAAGAAACTTAAACCTGCCTTTTCAAACACCTTGAGCTTTTGCACTTCTTAAAATTAAGCTGCATTTATGCCTGACACGTATATCCAGGATGAGTTGGGACAAGCAGTAGAAGCAACATGGTGGCAAGCAAGAAGGCTGCTTCTGTTCACTTGATGAGCACACGCTTCCACGCACATTGCGCTTGCAGTTTAATCATGGAAGTCGTCCTGTGTGCTTTTACTGCTAATGATGTGATTGTTAGGAGGAAGGCGAGTCCCAGTCCTATTGACTGTTTACATCTTAATGTGCCCTGTTTTGGAAATCCAGTTCCAAACTAAGTGAAGTTCTATTGTGTGATACTTCCCCTGCAGCATCACACACTTTCAATCAGCACCCACTCCTCAGCCGTAATCACTTCCTGCTTTGGCATCTGTTCAGCACTGCACCTCACTGCAAAACAGAGCTCCTATGAATCTGACACGCGTAGATGCGATGGCATGGATAAAATGGTGCTGAAGTTGCAGTAGAAAAGATTTTGTGTTTATTCGAAATGCTATGAACTGAATATAAAATAGTTGTAAATAGCTATGTTTCGGTTTTATAGTTGTGTGGGTTTTGCTGTTTTTTTGTTTGTTTGCATATTGCTTTGAGAAGAATTTTGAGAACCTGCCCCCTGTAGCTGAGGTCACTGCATCATCTGCACTGTTCTGTCAGTGCAGCTGTTTACCATAAACCAGCAGGAGCTCTGATCAGACAATCTTCAGAAACACCACAGAGCTCAACTGCACACAGGTTTCCCTCTGTATCATAAGCAGAGCTGAAGTTTGAACTTACAGGAGTAAGAATTCCCAAGCCTTTAAACACAAAATTATTGAAGCAAGAACCATAATAATAATAATAATAATAAAAGTGTTTCAGGAAAGAAAGCTTCCATTTAACATTCTAATGCCTTAAATAATTCCTGAGCAGAGCAGGTTTTCTCACAGTTCCCCAGTGTTTCTGTAACACGCACAGTAATTGTATCTGCATTCAGGAGAACTTAACTATGACTTTTGTCCACATTTAACAGGTCGCTAACCTGTATCTTTCTTTTTTTTTGATGGGCTTCATTACTTCAATTCCAACTTTTGATATCTCCACCTGTACAATTTCCACTTCAGTTTCTATGGAATGTGTTGCAATCATCATCCTGGCAAAATATACGCTAATATCAAGACGAGGTAAAACTACATTGTAAAACAAAACGATAGTGATGGGAAGTAGGGTAAACAACCACTAATGGTGTTTGAGAGGACAGAAGTTGTACATACACAGGGCCTCTTCATGCACTTGTGCCCCCTTATGTAATGAAAACTTTTTATCTAAAAGCGCAAGTAGCAGGAAACAAGTTCAGTGCGGAGTGAAATTTCTTGGCATCCATTCTCTGTCAGTGTTACTGATGTAAGCCTAACAGCAGCAACACGTTGTCCAGCACAAGTCCCTGAGTTCCTGGAACGTGCTGCAAGGCTCCAGGAAGGAAGATATTACCGCCTAGATAAGGTCAGGCTTTTAGCACCAGCAAGTAGTTCTTGGCAGAAGTCTGAATGCTATTTTGTTTTCAGCTTTGATTGCTGCTTCCATCAGCAAGGCTTTTATTTCCCTCAGTATTTCTGCAATGACTGTAAAAAAAATAATGTAAAAAATAAAAATCCCCTAAACCAGAATATCCCATACTGTAAGAGACTAGCAGGTACAAGATTTTCAGGGCAAACACCCGGCTTGTTATTACCTTCTATCATATGCAGTTAAAATAAGCCTGGGGCAAGTTTCCATCCCTCAGCTCAAGGCTTGGTCTGTACAGACACCACCTTCTGACACATCTGGCTTTTATGTTTTTTGCTTGTTTGTTTTTTACCTGTGAATACTTGATACATTAAACATGGCTTATTATTTAAAATTATTTAAACAACAGGGCAGCTGAGACTGCCTGACTCCACAACTGCTTGACTCTATAACTCTAGGACTGCTATGACTTTGCTTTCTGGATCTTTATTGAGCCTGAAGAAATCCCTCCCACTTAAAAATAATTGTTTAGTTATATAATCTAGAGATTTATTTTCCTGCTTCTAATCTCTAAACTGCAGCGTACTCAACTGGAAAGCAGGAATAAAAACACAAGTAGCAAATATGAGCAAATTTGCAAACACTAGTGCCAGAAATGGAGCTGGCATTTTGTCTGTCTCCTTGTCTTGTGCTTTCTTTGGTTGGCACTGTGGCTCCTGAAACCCACGGCTTGAAAGATGCAAAAGAGAAAGGTGTTTTCAGAAGTACCATAGAACAAATAAATTTAGCAAGCACAAACCATCTTAACGTTTCACTAGTGTTACTCACATTTGGTGTTTCTGACTCTCTTCAACTGAGGCTTTTACTTTGTTGAGACCTACCTTCATGGTCACTGTCACGCTCCTTTAGCTGTTAAATGACAAACACCAAGCCACAGATTGTTAACTGTGGAATAAACTAAATCCCCTCTCACCAATTTCCTGGGAACACCAACCTGGTATTTAGGATTGTTTCTGTGTGAACCTGTAGAAGAAAATTCTCAGTGGAGTGCACTTAGAGCCAGCAGAGGCTAACAGGTGGAATTATGTTGCCACAGGGACAAAGAAACTTTCAAACATACAGAACCACTATGTTTCCTACGAAAATAGTATGCTGATTAAATTGTGATAGATGTGTCATTCAAACCACCTGTTTCATCACCAGCTCTAGCACATTCTGTTTGATATCCTATAAAATGGGTTGAAAGATAACGACTAACTCCAAGGACTACGGGTAACAGGCCGTAGGTAACCGTGAGGGTACATAAAGTCTGCATTTTCAGAACAAGTCCTCAAAACAGAATACACGTTCTTCCAAACCAGTAACTGTCTTGTACACCATGTGATATTTGAAGAAATTTGCTTGTAAATATGTTGACAGTGAGGCACTGCACATGGACTGCAAGTAGGTAAGTTGCTCTTGGACCACAGAAGATGGCTTCTGCTTTGCTTCATACACTCCAACTGACTTCAACTCGTTTTTTCATAAGCCATCTCCAGAGAAATGACTGAGCTATCCTCTTCCAGTACTAGCCAAGACTTGTCCTTTCACTCCAACATCTCTATTAAATAAACAAAAGGAGGAAGTGACCAACGTCAGGCAATGCAGGAAACTTAATGGAATATGATGATTACCTCCAATTCAGCGTAACTTCCTCAGCATCATCTTTCCCTCCCCTGCTCATTTTTGTAAAATCAGTTCATTAACCTGCAAGGACACACTGAATTTTACTAAATGTCACCTGTTATTTATCGGATATTTGTTTTACGCTCATGGCAGGAAAAGTTAGGTTCCAAGCACACTATAGACCTTTTTCCTACCTCAGCAGAGCTCTCCATGTACCCTGAGGAACCAGCCGACAGTCACTTGGCCACAGCAGTCAGAATTCAGTGAC